ATAATTTATTCAAGGAATTATTTACTGAGTAAGTAAAATATAATCCAGTAAACTCTGTTAGTCAAATTCAAGGGGAATAAACTCAGTGATACTTTGTGGTGTTCCTATCACAAGGATTCTTTAATGAACAATAACAACAAAAAATAATGCTTCTCAGATGTTAATTTGGCACTTAGATAAGGAACTTTAAAAAAAAGTCATGTTTATGTGTATTAATTCTGAGAATTGTGTTTGTTATTCATTACAGAAACTGTTAAGCTGTGTCAACTAAAGATATTCTTAAAATCTGTTGACAAAACAGTGAAATCATGTTTAAAATATAAAGTTTGAATAACAGAAGCCAAATAAGATATAAAAATGACTAATACTTAACTTTCCTTAAATAATGATGAAATCATTACCGGACCATGAACCTCTCATTAGCTTTAATTTCTTATATTTGTATTTAACTACTTCTATCATATACAGTTTGGATATCAAATAAATGGTAACAACTCAAGTTTGAAAAGTCTGAAACATTAAAGCTGGAATTCAAAGAGATTCCTGTAAAGTAAGACTCAATGACCCTCCTTGTCAAAAGAATGTCTCACATCTCAGAAAGGGGAATCATGCTGCAATAAACATGCATCCATTTGTCTTTATGGTAGAATTATTTGTACTCCTTTGGGTCTACCCTCAGTAATGGCATTGCTTATCAAATGGTAATTCTTAGCTCTTTGAGAAATTGCCATACTGCCTTCTGCAATGGTTGAACTAAGTTACACTTATACCAACAGTATATAAATGTTCCCTTTTTTTCTGCAACCTTGCCATCATCTGCCTCTTTTCGGCATTTTAATACTAGCCACTCTGATTCATGTGAGATGGTATCTCACTGTGGTTTTGATTTACATTTCTCTAATGATCAGTGATATTGAGCTTTTTTTCATAAGTGGAAGCTAAATGATGAGAACTCATTGGCACAGAGAGCGGCCCAATTGGGGCCTATTTGAGGGTGGAGGATGGGAGGAAGGAGAGAAGCAGAAAAAATAACTACAGGGTACTTGGCTTAGTACCTGGGTAAGAAAACAATCTGTACAACACACCACTGTGACACAAACCTACACATGTACCCCTGAACCAAAAATAAAAGTTAAAAACCAAAAAGAAACAATCGAAAGACGTTAGATGAGAGACATAAGAGAAAAGAGGTAAGAGATGAAGAAATTTTGGTTCTGTATTTTTTTTACAGTAGGACCTCATTCTCTGAGTCTCAGTTTTCTTGCTTATGAACCAAAAGGACTGGAGAAGCTTTAGTCTCTTTTAATTCTGCACTTCTCTGATTGCAAGCATATGATTCTCTACTCCACAATTGTTGCCCCTTGTTTTGTTTGGTTATCCAACACACAACATAGCTAGGATAAGTATTCCAAAGCATGAATAGAGTCCGTATTTTAGCCTGACAAATTGAGATTAGGTTTATTTCCTCATTTCTTAATTTTTAAATTTAAATAGATGTCTATAAAATCATGTTGAACTACAGGTATCTATTTGAGAAGGATTTTTCTCATTACTAACCACAGTGTATACAACTATTTGTAAAAATTTGAAATTTTAACATCATTTTAACAGAAGATGTCTTAAGTATATAATTCTAAAAGAAACTCTCGAAAACATAGATAGATCTATGTGTATATGTGTGTTTGTGGAGAGCTGGGGGATAATTGATGTTCAATATTTTATTCAATAAATAACATAAAAATCAGTAGCCAAAAATACTGAGATAACGTTGGCATTATTAGAACCCTCACACTTCAGTCATTACATGCCAACAACCATTTACTGATTCTCAAAATGGATTTAATCCAGTGTACTGCTCGACATTGTCTCTTTGGAATTTTAATGCATTTAAGCAAACCCCACAGGTTATTCAAAATAGCATATGTACAACTTCTATAAAATGCCCAGATGTTAGCAAAATTTTGGTCTTTTATTTTTAAACACCTATTCCTGTGAAACTTTTATAAACTTCAATTTTAAAAGAACACAATGTATTTTACATCTTCCTAATTGTCCTTGATGTTCTAAAAATTAATTTCTCGTATTAATTGGACAGACAAGAAAGGCAAATTTCTCTAAAAGCTTCATCAACATTTTAATTTGTATTTCCAAAGACCCTTTTGAGAAATGTATATTGGCCTACAGAGGATTCGTGGGAAACTATAAAGTAACATAGGCCTTGCTTAGAATTCTCTCAGGCAATGACTAGAAACACTATGAAATTGTGTGATCAGGGCATCCAGACCAGGGATGCTTCTGAGAGCTCACTTAAGTAGACACTTATCTCTGTTTTTGACAAAAACTATTCCTTGAGACACTAGTTTTTCCCAAACATTCCTCACAAAAAGGAAATCCTAGTTAAACAATTCATTAGTCATTATGTACTCTATCTTACTCCTAGAAATTCACAAATTACAACATATTGGATTCCCAAAAAGTACTTCAATTAAGTATACTATTTAGTTCTATTTAATCCAGAGTTTCCCAGTTATGGTGTTACTGAGTATGAAATTTAACCAATTCTACCCCCTTTCCCTGGTTCAACTTTACTAAACACTATTAATTTGTAAATTTGTAACTCCATCAAATACTCATCAGAAAACACTGCCCAAGGCCTTGGTACCATGACTGCCTTAGGCCAGAGTGGAGCCCAGGGAACAGATATTTAGGAAAAGGGCAAAAATCTGGGACATGCATGAAGGTTGTTCAAAATGGAATTATAAGTTTAATTATTATTTCATAGAGCACAATGAATGTACTGTTGTTTGATATTTTAGCATGCTCAGAAACATAATAAAGTTGTGAGCTGCAACCATGATATGCTTAGTAAAAATGACTGTTCTTCTAGTCCCCAGTGAATGTGTAACTCTACTTAAATGTGTAGTGTGTCTTCATTGCAAAAATGCCTAGTAAATAAAAATAAATAGAAAGCATTTTTTTCAAATAGTTACATTTTTAAAGACTGTGAAAAATTTCAGGAGATCAGGCAGTACACAATTTACGTTATTCAAGCAGACCAGCAACTTGTACCTGAGGCCCCTGCATGCTACTCAAATGTCTTCAAGAAGTTCTTCCCAAATTAAAAGAAATAACCCTTGGTGAACGTAGCACAACAATGTGAATGTACTTAATGTCACTGAACTGTACACTTAAAAATGGTTTAAGTACACTTATGATGGTATTTTTTATGTTATGTTCATTTTAAACTCAATTTTTAAAAATCGAATCTTGTTTTGAAATCCCACTAAAATGGCAAGAATTTGTTAATGTTTGTCAGAATTACTTGCCCAGTAATCAAACTAGATTTCAAAAAGTGTCTAAATACCCACCCCTATCATTAGGAAACATTCATCTCTATTTAAAGAGAAGGCATAATGGATGCTGAAAAGGATGAAACAATTGTTAGAATGTGATATTCTCTTCCTTTTCTCTACTTCCGCTATGTAAATGCCTCTAACAGTAGGGCTTCTACAACATCTTTGAAAGTGAACTTACCTTTTATATTGCAAAGAATATTACAGCTTTCTCTCTTTCTTTCTTTCTTTCTTTCTTTCTTTCTTTCTTTCTTTCTTTCTTTCTTTCTTTCTTTCTTTTCTCTTTCTTTCTTTCTTTCTTTCCCTCCCTCCCTCCCTCCCTCCCTCCCTCCCTCCCTCCTTCCCTCCTTCCCTCCTTCCCTCCTTCCCTCCTTCCCTCCTTCCCTCCTTCCCTCCTTCCTTCCTTCCTTCCTTCCTTCCTTCCTTCCTTCCTTCCTTCCTTCCGGAGTCTTGCTCTGTTGTCAGGCTGGAGTGCAGTGGCACAATCTCGGCTCACTGCAACCTCCGCCTCCTGGATTCAAGCAATTCTTCCACCTCAGCCTCCCAAATAGCTGGATTACAGGCATGCGCCACCATGCCCAGTTATTTTTTGTATTTTTAGTAGAGACGGGGTTTCACCATGTTGGCCAGGATGGTCTCGATCTCTTGACCTCGTGATCTGCCCGCCTCGGCCTCCCAAAGTGCTGGGATTACAGGCCTGAGCCACCGCACCCAGCCCAGCTTTCTATAAATGTGAAATGATATTTCACGAGTGTTTTTAAAAAAAACATTTAATTTCTACCACACCGCTAAGAGTAAAACCTGCTATGCGAATTAAGGTTAGCTAAAATATATTTGATTTATAGAAGTGTGCATTAACATAGGAGAATTAACAAATTTGTGAGAAAGACGCTTAGGAAAGAATTAATGAACTATAAAAGGACTGATGAGCTATAAAACTGACTGCCCAGCTAGAAATATTTAAAAACATTGCTCTTGTTGGCTAACATAGTCTCTTGACTGCAAGTTTACGAAGGCAGAGAACACATCCATCTTGTTCACTGCTACTTTATTCATGCCTAAAACGGTACCTAGTACAACAGGCACTGCAAATTTGAAAATTATTTAGTGAATTCAAGGTAGAGTTAAAAAGCAGAAAATTTCTCTGTAGACAATGGTTAAAAAGTGACATAAATGAAGGCATTTTTCAATTAATAAACTATCTGAAATACTATCAATTGACCATTTACATCTTTAATCTGTCATGGGTCCCACTATTCATCAAACATCAAACACATGTTGAATGCCCTCCCCCAAATTTATCCAAATCTCACATATGGAATTTTATTCACAAGTCAATACTCTACGTTTCAAGAGACACTTAAGCACTAAATATCCAGCTCTGAATCATTTTGTCTGTGAACTATTGCTGAATTTTTCTCATGAAGTCTGAGCAATAAAATTACACATAATACATTTTCTTATATCCTTTTAAAGTGGAGACATTCATATGAAAACATTTTATATATTTTAAAGACTTCTATTGGAAGAAAAATATCTAGTTTGTTAAAATATATTACTTGAATTAATATTCTTCAAAATTAGAGCTGTTTGCACACAAACATTAAAATGAAAAATGATTAAATGGTGTTTCATATAATCTTGATATAAAATTTAGAGATAAAAGAGTCTGTAAATATTTGGAAAAACATAAAGGAGGCATCTATGACTTTTAAATGCATAGTTTACACTTTATTTTTACTTGTTTTTTAATTTATAAAAAGTAAAACATAAGCAGAAAAAAATAGAACATCGTTTTCACATAATTAGCTAAATGAGACAAAGCTTTGGAATGACTTTTAAATCTATTTTAAAAGCTCAGCTACTTTGACTTTTTTTTGTATTACAGACCCAAGAAAAGTTATTTCACCTGAATTGCATATATGACTCCTAGAGTGTAGACAGTTGCTATTATTTGTTCACTTCATCAAATGCGCTTTTAAATTCTTGCTACATCTGTATTACCAGGTCCTGGAGAAACCAAGGTGAAAGAGGCCCGGGAGAGGCCAAACCCTTTTCGCTATTTCTAACAAAGGAAATGCCATTCTTGCCACTAACTCTTGGAATGATTTCCAAGTTCTCTAAAAATAATTTAACCTGTGTCAAGTAGCTGTCTCATCTGGAAAACTCAATAAACGAATGCAGAAGTTAGAAAGAGCAGGGGAAAGTTAGGTGTTACACTGAAATGGTATATCCCAGGCATGTTGAATTGAGACTTCAAATTAGCCAGCACACTTCCATACATCTGCTCATTTTTCTTTAAACTTGAGCTATATTATTGCAGAAAAGCATAATAATCTCCACTCTGATCTTGTATTTCAAATGAAAAAGGCTGAAACATCATAGCACATGCACCTTTCTAGGTTGGTTAAATATTATGAGTGGACACATTTCCTTTGGGGATCAGCATTTTTACATTTAAAGGACAGATTAAACAGGGAGGAAAAAGTAGAGGAGTAATATAAAATATTAGTATCCAACGACAAGGATCCCAATTTTACATTAAACTTTAGCTTAAAGAGGACACGCATATTAGATCATACCTCACTTTATGTGATGATTGGATTCTTTAACTTTGTGTAAATTATTTCTTGGTAGCTAAATCATACTTCACTGTACCTGAATAGTGGTTTACATGTAAAAACCTCAGGTAAAAAATGCTTATGTAGTGCCTTTATTTATTTGTTAAAAAAATGTGAGGTCTTTGTACACTGTTTTCTTAATTTGAAGCATTTTTAATGTGGCAGTTATAAAAACATAAAATTTTAAATTCTATTATATGATTTTCAAGGAATTTGTATTTTATAATTTTCCATCTGTATAATTATTTAAGATTAACATTTATTATATGTTGGTTCATGCATGAAATACTGCATATAATAATTTTCAGGCCAACTGCTAGCATCCTGAAGCAGGAGAACTGATGTATTTTTGGGAGAGATCACTCTACACTGCTTATCAAGATTTTTCAAGACAACCAAAAGTACAATGGAAACCTTCTAGATTGTAAACATTTTCCTATTTTTATTTTTTAATATGAAAGACAACTTATAAAAACTTTTAGGGCCATTGTGGTGGCTCACACCTGTAATCCCAGCACTTTGGGAGGTTGAGGTTGGTGGATCATGAGGTCAGGAGCTCAAGACCACCCTGACCAAGATGGTGAAACCCTGTCTCCACTAAAAATGCAAAAATTAGCTAGGTGTGGTGGTGGGCGCCTGTAATCCCAGCTACTCGGAAGGCTGAGGCAGGGAACTGCTTGAACCCAGGAGGCAAAGGTTGCGGTGAGCCGAGATCACGCCACTGCATTTTTCTCGAAAAAAAAAAAAAAAAAGATCAATAAAGAAAAGGTGCTACAGTAATTTGCACTTGTTCATGCTGACTGGTATAAGAATGAAGATGCGGTTTGTCTAAAGGATCCTGAGATGGCACAAATACAGGTTCATGCTCTGACTTCGCTTTCCTGTGCCCACAATTTGTTTCAGAGTTGGGTGGAAAGGGGATGAAAGGAGACAGTGTATAAACATCTGCCATTTGCCAAGAACCTTGTTTCACTTTTTACATATGGTTTCTCACTTATAAAAAGTTAGGTAATATAAAATAAAAAAGAATAGCCAAAATAAATCCCTTATTTTTCTTCCTAACAAATCTAGGTTTTTCTTATCTGCCTTAATAGAAATGCGTTCTCTAGTGAGCAAGAAAAGCCTAATTTCTTTATCTTTTCCCTGTTTGCAGTCACAATTATTTAGTCATGAAATAAAGAAAATCCAGAGGGGACTGGCAGCCCAGTAGAGAATGTTGCTTTTATTTACCTTATTCTCTCTGAGGGTTAGATGGTGATAGTTGAGAGAAGCTTGAAAAATAGCAGGTAAAGAAAATGGGCAAATGCCCAGAATAAAGCATAGTTTATTTCAGCTGGTTTGAAATAACAGATTATTAATGACTGATTTAAAATGGTAAAAATGCACTGAAATGTAAATATTTATTTCCAAATACTGGGGAAAAGAAGGTAATTTATTTAATCTCTTTAAAGACTAAACTAAATTCAATCTCTTGGAGAAGCCAGGCATGGTGGCTCATGTGTCTAATCTCAGTTCCCTGGAAGCTTGAGGCAGAAGGAGCAGCTGAGGCCTGGAATTCAAGGCCAGCCTAGGTGACATAGTGAGACTTTCATTTCTACAAATGTTTTAAAATGAGATGGGCATGGTATGGATGTCTGTAGTTCCAGCTACTCGGGGGTGGGATGGAGGGGAGGAGGGTGAGGTGGGAGGATTTCTTGCACCCAAGAGTCTGGGGTTGTAGTGAGTTACGATCATGCCACTGCACCCAAATCTGGGCAACAGAGAGAGACTATCTCTAAAACAATAAAAAGCACAAAATTATTTTGTAAGGTGATCTCATTAAGTCCCTTGTATCATTTAATAACATTAAATTTGTCATGGCTGCTCATTATAGGTAGCTATATCTCTGCTCTGTTAAAAGTGCTGAGATTTAGAAAGATAATCATCAAGTAAAGATGAGAGACTGTACTTTCCAAGATGTATGAGTGTAAAAGCCACTCATACATCTTGCATAAATCAAGTAGTCAGTCATATAATTATAATATTCTCTATTTTTATCCCAATAAAGCATGGGTAACATGGAAAAACAACATTTCCAATCAAGAAAGTTTTGTTTGCTGATGTGAAGTAACCAGTGGTCTGAAAATTTAAGTGCTTATAAACTCCTTGAGAGCAAACATCAAGTAGTATTTATTGCTGTATCTTTCTTGGGCTTATCACAGTGATCATCTTAGGCTCATAAATGGCCTAAGATAGTTGTCCTAAATGATGAACAATGTGAATCAGGATTACCAATGTGAATTAAAAGCCTGATTGCTAGTAGGTCCTGATTTAAAGGAAATTTGTGTCCCCCAGAGTAGGCTAAGTCCTGGCCTCGGTCACTGCTACCCACCTTTTTCCTGTCTGCTGGCCAGTGACGGAGAAAACACACTAAACATTTTGATGTTTCACTATAAAAGTGCACGTCATTATGTTGCTAAAGTCTTTATAGTCTCCCACACCAAAGTCATGTTTGAAACACAATACATTAGCAATCCGGAGCAGAGTTTGTTATGAGGAAGGATACTGAGAATAAATAGATGAAATTCTAGACATTTCCAAAGAGGATCCAGCTATTTAATGGCCACTGAAGTCTTCAGTGAATAGGTGTGAATATTTCAGTGTAGTCCAACCTGAACTGAAAAGCAGTTCTTACGTCCAAATTTAAATACCTCCTGTGCATATAAAAAAGGTTCACTTATTAGTCCAAACATCACTATGATTGGGATCCTGAAAAAACATTCTCTTATTATTGGGAATATTCTCCAGCAAAAAGATGTTGGGAAGGCTAGGCTAGAGAATGGGACTTGTGCTTGGAGATGACAAAGTGGACACATCCTGTTATTTACCCCACACCAGGTCAGGAGGAACTGAAGATGGTTGAGTAAGTACATTTCTACGTCAAAGTTAAGATGATAAACTGTGGATGAAATCCTGAAAAATTCTACTCACCAACTGAAAAGTTGTTAGTGTTTGGTTATTGAGGATCATCTGAACTACTTTCCTCACAGGTTGGGCCCATTGTCTTAAAAAGGCAAGAGCAGCTCCCATTGAGAGGGCTGTAGTGAGCTTTGTGACCACATTGACGGTTGAGAGCGCAGTTAGGTCCATACAGGCCCGGCCTGCATTCTAAGAGGGAGAAAACACAAATCAAAGCAATTCATATATGCTATTCAAACACTGTGTTCTCACTATTACTGCTTGGCATTCAATAGGATAATTATAGGTTTGTAAAAGATTCTTTTTTTTTACCATGGTGTATCTTCTCACGCTAGAATGTTGTCAATGGAAAACAGGAGAAGGGTGGGAATGTCAAGGAAGTTAGTGACAAAACCGAAAAGAGAAGCCAGGACAGCAACTGACCTTTTTGAGGTGCCTTCTCAGAATTAGAGTATTCAGTAGAGCCTTAGTGATAGCATTGTGAAGGACACAGGGAAAGTGGACTAGCTCTCTTGAGGTCAGAGAAAGGCAACACTCACGCTGAATGCATGATACATGAGACTCATTTTTAGGATGAAAACACAAATATTTGTTCTTATGTTATTGAGAATGAAATGGCTTTAATTTCAACTGTTTATTTCTTAAACTATGTCAGAAAGTCCATAGATCCCTTGATCTATGTCCTAAAGGACTCTATCTTTCAATTGAATTGCATTGTGCTTGCAACCAGAAGAGAAATGATGGAACATTATAAAAAGTATTAGCTTTATTAAAACTAGCAAATGTTGACTGTAAAGACCCAGCCTGAGTGTTTGCTGTTAGCCTAATTTCCAGCAAAGAATTAACAAATTCTGTTTCTGAAGAATTGTGATGATAAGCGGAAAGCCCAGCCTAGCTCTTGACACAGAAAATAGATTCATATTTCCCACTCTGTCAGGCAGGACTGGGAAGAAACTCAGTTTATCAATGTTTAAGGATCAGAAACACTTAACTGTGTAATCCTAACAGTCACTTACTCTTGAGGAGTTTACAAAGTGGTCTCTAACACATTATCTCTAACAAAGTTGTTTCTAACACCTGTGAGGTGGGCAAGGCAGTGAGTTAAGCTTCCACATTTCACAGAGGAATAAAGTAAGGTCTGGTATGGCTTAAAAGATCTTCTCAATTACTGTGCTATATCTCGGATAAATGGCAGAGCTGGGTTTCAAATTCTTACCTAGTGTTCTTTCTCCGTTCTATACTACTATATGGGAGGATGCAAGGTATTAAGCATATGTAGAAGAAAGCCCTAATAAAAAAGAGAGGGAAAGCGAGAATTTGGGAAATGTCAGTAAGTATGAAGATATAGGTCCCAGGGCAAATTCTGAGACTTTGGGCAAATTATTAGAAAACCTTATTTATTGACTCACTATCCTTTATGCTGGATTAGAGTTGAGCAGTTGGATGTTTATTTTTTAATATTCTTTTGCATTATGAATGTAGGTTAAGATGTGGCCTAGTTCCCTTGCCTTAATTAATTAGATTATAAATATAAGGTAAATAGAAACATAAACCAATTTTGTAAGTAATTATTTTTACAAGGGTTCAACATTAACAAACAGTAATTCAATCCCTTCCTAAATGAAGGAGCAACAATTTCCTTTAGGAAGAAGCTCTGGAGGCAATGCAAATGCTGCTCTGAAATGAATCTTTAAACCATGAAACTTTGTGAAAAAAAAATTTTAAAAATCCTATGTCATTTCTTTTTCTTTTTTTTGAGACGGAGTTTCACTCTTGTTACCCAGGCTGGAGTGCAATGGCGCGATCTCAGCTCACTGCAACCTCCGCCCCCTGGGTTCAGGCAATTCTCCTGCCTCAGCCTCCTGAGTAGCTGGGATTACAGGCACGCACCACCGTGCCCAGCTAATTTTTTGTAATTTTTAGTAGAGACGAGGTTTCACCATGTTGACCAGGATGGTCTCGATCTGTTGACCTCGTGATCCACCCGCCTCGGCCTCCCAAAGTGCTGGGATTACAGGCTTGAGCCACCGCGCCCGGCCTAAAAAATCCTATGTCATTTCAAATGTCATTTCTCAGCCACCTCTGCCCAATGTGTGGGAGGATTACTTAGTTTGGTGGCAAGATTGAATTTTCTTATTAGAAAAAAGTCGAGTCAGGATCTCTCCTGAGCACTCCAGAATCTGACTTTAATTTATAAAAATACCACATTTTCATGTTAATAATGATGTATATTTAAGACATCTGAATGTCTGCAAATGTTAATTTACCAATGGAGGGAGCATAATCTAATAAAAAGTTGTTATATTCTTTAATGAATTAATATTATGGCTGTTTAATAGCTCCTTTACCAGAGTTCAAGTTAAAATGAGGTCTTTTATCTTTATGGTACCTGCATAGACACAGCTGTTCACACTTTATATCACAGATGAACTGTGCCTAATTGAAAATAAAAATGAAAATAAAAGACCTGGTAGAACATCTGTATAGGCCATGACTTTATTTAGAAATAATCTTTCCTTAAGAAATGAAGCTTCAACCCTACTCTTTTGCAGATGAGAAAAGTAAATTCTGAGATTAAACCCTCTATTTTGGGTAATACCAGTGGCAGGGTCAGTCCTTCGGGTCTCTTGTGAATTATATAAAACTTTTCATCTGCTAAGCATCCATTAAGTCCAGTAGTTCATAATTACTCAACCTACTCTCTCTTCTTAAGACAGTCCCTGAAGAATTAGAACTTTATATTCTAGGTCATTCTTTCTCTGAATGAAAAGAAAAATGAAATATACATTTCAGTTCCCAAAGAGTAGCAGCTGGAAGCTTGGGTCTCAAGAATACTATCTGGACCACACCTAAATTGCCTTAATTCTAGTGATTTCTATGAATCACCTTTGTGATGGGACATTTAACTGTGTCCCTTTAAATACTTACCATGTTACCATGTGCCCTCCATCAGCTATAGTGTTATTTGAGCTTCCTGTGATGTAACAGCTACAAACCCTTCTTCATGATACTAAGGGCAAAGTATCAAGCAATGCTGGGCAAGGCTCTTTAATGGAGTACCCCTTCTAGTAGGAAAATGTCTACAGATCTCTGTATAACCATGGGTCAGAGGAGTCATGAGGTGCTTTGGCTCCTACCAGCATCACATCTGGCTCCAGTTCTCCTACAGGGGCAGAGGCATTTTCCAGTCATTAAGTGGCAGAAGTGTTCTTCTTCAGTCACAAAGTTGATGTCAACCATCTCCAAACACGTCAGGCAAACACTGACCAAAAAAGGAGAAATGCTGAAAAATTAACCCCTTGCACTTTCATTAATGCATCTTAATTAAAACTGAATATAAAAATTTCCTTACGATTGAGTTCCAAATAGTAAAGTGGGATGATACTGGAATTTGCTGGTCAAAAGAAGAGAGAAAAGTTTTGGAGTGTCAGAAGGAAGGTCCATTCTGTAACTGATTTGACAAGTCTTAAAGTTGATTTGCTTTAACACGTATTTATCTCTTAGAATGCAAATAAAATTTCCGAAGGTAGGAGCTTTAGGAAGGAAACAAAGTCTACCAGCAAAGTGTCTTACTTTTAATATTTTCCCTTAAAGTGTTTTCATTATTCATCTCTCTAGATGACAATAAACTCCATGTTTTCCACTATATTTCCAGAATTTAACACAGGGCCTGCTACTTGTCATGTGATACTATACAGAGTCCGTCTGGAATTTGATATCTTACTGCTACCACAGATACATAATGGGTGACATTTTATTGAATCACTAAGTAATACATGAATAATAAAGGATGTGCAAAGGGATGAAATATATAAGGCCTTATAGTGACATTGGAGAACGTAGTATGAGACTAATACAGAGAGCCTTTTAAAAGGCTACAGTCACTTTGATTCATCACATAAAGTTAAATTACCATTATCATCATGCTATAATTGTAATAATTATAGTTGTTATATTAGATTGTTATATACAAGAATGTACATAATACAGGCCAAAGCAGGTCTCGGTGGTGTTTACTGAGTTCGTAGCTTTTTGGGGTTTTATAATATTTTATTTCAAACTGAGTAACCCAAATTCTCACCTTCGTATGTTTATCTCCACTCACGGCTATGATTACTTTCTAGTGGTAAATGCCTAATTCACATCTTTTTAATATTTTCATAAATTTCTTGTATCTCTTTCAATGTCACTGACTCAATACATAGGCCACATTCTTTAAAAGCATTTAATAAAATATTTATTCTCATTCAGAGGTAGAACTTTTGTCCTTCAAAGAGTAACATTTTCAGTGGTGTTTTGAAGTATCTCACAATTTTATATAAAGGAAAATAAAACTTTTGACCAATTAGCCACAAAATCAGGACTCATTATATTGGCTGTTGGGTGAATTCCTACCACTTTAATGTGCAAGTTGAATGTTTAAGTAATTCTTGCATATTTTCAATTTCATTTACATGTTTGTCACCAGATGAGAAGATCTCACAGTCACACAGAATTCTCACATTCATGGGCTTAAAAATGCTGTGGCAATACCCCTTTCATATTGGCTGCCATGGACACCTGCTGGGCAGGTGCACTGCCCACTTGCTGCATCACAACTAACTTCACTTGGCAGTCACAGAGGTGAGCACAATTCAAGCTATAAAGTCCAGGAGGGCATACTAGGAAATGGAAATGTCAAAATGCTACTTTAACTTTAGATGTGATTAAAAGGAAAATTGGAATATGTTCAATTCATTTGTTTCCCAAGACCAAATAAAGAGATGAGAGAATTGGAAAGAAAGAAGAAATTATATGGAGAAGCATACTGACAATAATTTGGTCATACAAATAAATCGTTGCCAGTCTCTATAACCGGTCTAGAAAAATGAATAAGGAAACGTGAAATATCTTTAAGCAGATAATGCTTATATGCTACGATGTGCACATGAGCATTTGGCCCAAGCCTTTCCTAAAATCCTTCAATACCTTAAAGACCTAAAGAGGCAATGTGTTCAAATCCATTCTAAATTTAATGAGAATGATTTTTAAATTAAATTATTTAAATAGATAAGAGAGTATCTGTGGAAGGTGATATCATAGAGTTTTTTATACTTTTAAATTAAATTATTTAAATAAATAAAAATCTGTGGAAGGTGATATCATATAGTTTTTGATATTTCAAGTCCTGGGGGCAAATGACAGAGGTGGGTGTGAGAGACAGGAAGGAGAAAGAGAAGAAGGAAGAAAGAGAGTAAAAGAATATGATGCACATATGGTAGGGAAATATCTTACAAGGAAATTAGGTATTAAAGTCTGTAAAATTTAATCTTTGAAACATTTCCTTAGGTGGCCAATTAAGTACAATACAGAATTGTCTTTTACTAAGTCTGATATGGAGGACTTAAAACCTCTTGGAGGTTTTACCTCTAAGATTGGAGAAGCCAATATTTTTCTGGCTGAACATCAGCAGAAGTAATTGGTTTGCATTTATAAATCATGTCACCTAAGCAAATACCTTTATTTGAAAGCTAAAATTGTTATCTGCTGGGGAAATGCTCACTCTAAGGAGGTGTGTGAGAGCTTGACTGTAAAGATTTCCTTTTTTTTTTGAGATGGAGATTTGCTCTTGTTGACCAGGCTAGAGTGCAATGATGGGATCTTGGCTCACTGCAAACTGCCTCCCAGGTTGAAGTGATTCTCCTGCCTCAGCCTCCCAAGTAGCTTGGATTACAGGCCTGCGCCACCATGCCCAGCTAAAGATTTCCATTTCTATTCTTGAGTTTTCTTGAGATATGCTTACCACTCACCCATGGAATATGATTTCCTCACCCTTTATTTATTGTCTCCTTTCGCCTTTTCTTTCTTTTCCCTCTCTCTCTCTTTCTCCCCCCTTCTCTCTCTCTCTCCGTCTCTCTCTGTCTCTCTGTCTCTCTCCCCCCTTCTCTCTCTCTCTCCGTCTCTCTCTGTCTCTCTCTCCCTCTGTCTCTCTCTCTCCCCCCTTCTCTGTCCTCTTTCCAGACATGCAGAGCTGAATTTGATTAGGCTTGTTGTGGATGACACTTCTTCAGTATGCATAAAGTTACTCAGGACAGATTTATCATCAGGAATCACTCACATTCAAGGATCAGAAAAAGGAAGTAAAATGAAAGAAGATAAAGAATGAATCATATAATACATATTCTTTCATTTACTTTCCTCATATAATGATTAAAAATAAGTAATCAAGAGAGATCCATGCATAGTTTCTTCTGTTTGTTCTTGTATAATCAGTTTTTATCAAGAATACTTAGGAATAGCAGATTTCCTTTACTCCCTTACTTTAATTATATATAAAATGAGATACCTGGTGGCTCATGCCTGTAATCTCAGCACTTTGGGAGGCTGAGGCGGGTGGATAACCTGAGGTCAGGAGTTTTGAGACCAGCCTAACCAACATGGTGAACCCTATCGCTACTAACAAATACAAAATTAGCCAGGCATGAGGGTGCGTGCCTGTAATCCCAGCTACTCAGGAGACTGAGGCAGGAGAATCACTTGAACCTGGAAGGCAGAGGTTGCAGTGAGCTGAGATCATGCCATTGCACTCCAGCCTGGGCAACAAGAGCAAAACCCCATCTCAACAACAACAACAAAAACCTGAGCTAATAAAGATTGCCTTGCTTGATGTCTCCATTTTGCCAAATAATACTATCATTCTTCTCTGATTATAACATTTTTCAGATATGCGAATTTTTTTTTTTTTTTTTTTTTTTTTTTGAGACGGAGTCTTGCTCTGTCGCCAGGCTGGAGTGCAGTGGCACAAACTGCAACCTCCGCCTCCTGGGTTCAAGTGATTCTTCTGCCTCAGCCTCCCGAGTAGCTGGGACCACAGGCACGTGCCACCATGCCCGGCTATTTTTTGTATTTTTAGTAGAGACGGGGTTTCACCATGTTGGCCAGGATGGTCTCGATCTCTTGACCTTGTGATCCACCCACCTTGGCCTCCCAAAGTGCTGAGATTACAGGTGTGAGCCACTGCACCCAGCTGGGATATGTGAATATTTTATAGCATTGTAAATAAGAATTAAATCATAATGAAATGAACCTAACTATGATTTAATTAGTGGCAAAACTATGTAGCAAAGAACTATTTCAAATAATTCCAAAACACAGTAATTGGAAAACATGTGTCTAGTGGAAAGTATAAGAAAAAAACTACCAAAACCCCTTTTAAATATTTAAAATATGTATTAATATAATTTAAATATTTAAGTATTAGATTTAATTAAATTATTAAAATGATTGATCAACTTAAAATTAATTAAAAAAATTATTTTATCAATTATTTAAAATAGTTTAATTGAAATAGTTGATGTTTAAAGTAATTTTCAGAATTGTACTGATAGTGTTGCTATTTTCAGACTTGACAGTATTATGGATTAAACAAATGAGAAATTATATTGGTGTTCAGAATTAGGAATTCAAATATGGGAGAAAGAAAATACACATGTAAGAACCATGTAAGAACAAAGAGTATGTAGAATTGCTGTGGTCCTCCTCACTTTGAACTGCATCTGTATGAGCTCATAATATAGTTGATACTTAAAAAGGCATTTCATGGCTCTGTCCAGAGAAAGCCTTAGAAAAAAATAACTATCCCAGTTGCAGTGAGCACAACGAAATATTGGTTTCTATATACCGTTTCCAAGTAAAAGGAAGCAGAGCATCTTGGAAGAAGTAGATTATTCAGATTTGGAAGTGGATATGTACAATTAAGCATAAAACAAACACCTACTTATCTCAGATAGCAAGGAATGAATCATATTACTGGGGTTACGTATTTGAAACTCAAGAGCCAATTTTAAGAGGCTCCCTCTGATCAATGATAGAAAAGTGTGCCATCAGTAAGTATACTAACTGAATGAATTTAAGTGTATCAAAATGTTTGACCTCCATAATTTCATAAAAGTGCTCCCAAAATGTAGTTTTTGCTCATCTCTGAAGGATATTAGTAAATCAACTACCTTGTAAATTGATAAATAAATGGAAAGTGGAAAGGACTTATCTTGACTCTTCCATGTGAATCATGTCTCAAAATAATCAAATATGTGATTAGAGAAAATTTCTCTACATAGACCTATTCTAACTAACAAGTAAAGAAAAATGTATGGACTCAGAATATCAATCTTCTGTGGGCTTTAATGAATTTGTGGATCAGGGCAATGATGATCATTGACTGCTACCATAATGAAAAGACAGGCAAACCAGACATTATGTGCCTTCTAGCAGAAGACACGTCACCCTTCAAGTGTTCTCACCAATATGTCAAGCCTGAATCTGATCAAGACTTCATCTACCCAGGGAAGGCAGAAGATAGAGAAACAGGTGATTACAATATCAAAAGATGCAAAGGGCTAAATGAGAAACTTGATAACAGCAGCAAGCTATTATTTTCAACATATATCTTACAAGGGGGAGAAAGAAAAAGAAGAAACTTCTATATGTTGAAACATATTAAGAAGCAAATTTTAAGAGGTAGTATTTGAATCTTGGGTCAATAAATGTATTAAAAAATCATGATACTTCAGGAGCAACTATTTGATTATATTAAACAATTATTATTTTAGGTACTATAATTGTACCATAGTTACATTTAAAAAAATTCTTATCTTTTAAAGATATGTACTATGAAAATGTATGGATAAAATGAAATGTCTAGGATTTGTTTCAAAACAATTAGGAGAGAGCCATGAGTTTATAATTATTGAGACTGGTGACAAGTACCTTAGGATTCATATATCATTCTCTCTAGATTTGCAGAGGATTACAATCTTCATTACAAATAAAATCCTATAACTTTATTAAAGAGATATTTTGATTGGTTCTGTTTGGATTAAACAATAAGATAACTAAAATTAAAATAGTTTTTAAATGTTTAGATATGGTGAGGTATTGTGGATACATTTTTAAAAGAATACAACTAATACTTATGAATAAATCATATGATGATGATCTGCTTCTAAATAATACCATAGTGGTACAGAGTGAGGGAGTGGGTGAAAGTATAGATGACACAGGATTAATCACAAATTGATTATTGTTGAAGGTGAATGACAGATATATGGAAATTCACTATAACATTATATCATTTTCTTAACTCTTGTATGAGTTTGAAATGTTACATGATAAAAAGTGTAAATGATAGAATCAATAGTAAAATATCTCATATACTAAATGCCAGAAAATTACTCAATTTACAAATAAAGGGAGCATGGACATAATAGTTCTGTTTTAAAAATGCTGATTTTGTAATCTCAACAAAATTGATAAGAACCATCTCCCATGAATTAGGGAGGATATCCATCTTTTAAGAATCCCGTGAAAAATGGTCTTGAATCTCAGATTTGGAAGGACTGTCAGGTATTATTCAGCTCAATACCCTTCTGTTCAGATGGGAAAACCAAGTCACAAAGAGGATGTGAACTGCCCAAAGGTAGATCACACGGTATTAGCAGAGCTAGGGTTAGCATTCATCTTTATCCATGTCCATTGAAATACAGTGTTGTTGAATTTATTTCATGACAGTTAAATTAGTAGTGATGGATGGCAGATAATCATATCCATTGTCACACAAGTCTAAAGAGTCACACCACCCATAGTTGAAACCATCTAGGTAAACGTTCACTGTGAATTCTTTTCTACTTGGAGTGCCTCAAGTTTAGGCCTCCAGCACAATGTTCTCATCCACACTCTGCCAGAAACTTTGCCCTATAATCTGTGAAAGTACAATGTCTCCTACAAGAGTAGGCTCTAAATAAAGTAGGTGCTTTCCAGTGTTGTATAAAATAAATAATTGTGGTTCAAGAAAATAAACATTAGAATAACTATCAATAGTCATTTTATCAATTTAAACATGTATCTAAATTTTATAATATACTTATTAGTCAAGAAGTGCAAAAATGTCATTTATAAGTAAGAACGCATACATAGAGGTATAGCAGTCCCCCACATCCATGGGGGATACATTCCAAGACTCCCAGTTGACATCTGAAACCTCAGACAGTATTGAACCCTATATACACTGTGTTTTCCACTATACATATATAACAATAATAAAGTTTAATTCATAAATTAGGCACAATAAGACATTCTGAATAACTAATAATAAAATAGAAAATTACATCAATATACCTAATTAGAGTATTGCCAATGTGCTCTCTCTAAAAAAAACCTCATTGTACTATTCCATAGGGAAACCACAGGCAAACGAGGACTACTGTACTGATTAAATTTTTCCTGATGAAACAAATTTCGGAGACTTTTGGGAGGTCCTCTTCCCTCCTTGCAGCTGGGCCTATTATTAATGTGAGCTGGCTTCTCCCAGAGCCCTGTATTCTCCACCTTGCCAGCCTCAAAGCCTCAGCGGTGGTGGACATTCTTCAGCTTCATGCCTAGAAACTCAAGACTTAGCAGATGGTGTCCACAAAGCCTTTGGGCTTAAAAAGTGGCTGGTATGAGACTTAAATTTAGGTCTCAGAGGAACTCTTTCATATTAATACTATTTCGATTACTTAAGGGGTTTAGGCGTATTTTATCAACAAATGGCAGTATTCTCTAAAGTAGAGCTTTTTTTTTTTTTGTGAGGAGTCTCACTCTGTCACGAGGCTAGAGTGCAGTGGTGCAATCTCGGCTCACTGCAACCTCTGCCTCCCAGGTTAAAGCGATTCTCATGCCTCAGCCTCACAAGTAGCTGGGATTATAGGCAGGTGCCACCATACTCAGCTAATTTTTCTATTTTTATTAGAGATGGGATTTCATCATGTTGGCCAGGATGGCCTTGATCTCCTGACCTCATGATCCCCCTGCCTCGGCCACCTAAAGTGCTGGTATTACAGGCATGAGCCAACACACCCAGGCAAAAGTAGATCTTTATTGAAGGAAGAAAGGCAATGAATCAACTTGCCTTTTTCACAATAATTTTCTGTCCCCGCCAGGCCACCGATATACCTTCCATCTGCAGAACTGCAAAGGCCACCATTTTTACAAGTACATTTTAGCTGACAATTGGGGCCATATCTTATCCTGGGACAACCTGTAATTTTTATTTTAAATAAAATAACAAAAATGACATTTTTCTTTGTTTTCTTTTGTTTTCTTCTTGAGATGGAGTCTTGCTCTGTTGCCCAGGCTGGAGTGCAGTGGTGTGATCTTGGCTCATTGCAACCTCTGCCTCCCAGGTTTAAGGAATTCTCCTGTGTCAGCTTCCTGAGTAGCTTGGATTACAGGTGCATGCTATTACACCTGGCTAATTTGTGTATTCTTAATAAAGATGGGATTTTACCATGTTGGCCAGGCTGGTCTTGAACTCCTGACTTCAGGTGATCCAACTACCTTGGCTCCCAAAGTTCTGAGATTACAGGCATGAGCCATCATACCTGGTAGGAAAAACATTTTTCTCTACTTCAGATGCAGTAACCATACCTAAATAGCAAAAGCATAAGAAATGTTAAAATTAAGACAAAGAACTACTCACATGTTATCTGTAAAGTAGTAAATACACGACTTTCATTCATTCATTCATTCATTTTTTATTCACTCCATAAATATTGATTAACACTATGTGCTCAATATACTGGGACCTGCAGAGACCCTTGGGAAGAAGGAGCAGTCAATCTCAGATGACTAGGAATGAGAAGATTTTATATATTTAGTCTCATGACTGATAGAGAAGAAAAATGAGCAGTTGCTTTCAAGTTACTGGAATGGTAAAAGCGTTTTAACTTACAGAGGTGGGTGACACGAACTAAAATGCACTATCAAGAGGAATTAAGACACAGGTGAATGAAACTGACCAGACCAGGAAAACTGAGTCTCTCCTTTTTCAGTGTCAAGGAGAAGATAATTGAATGATGGGAAGTGCAACCGACGGGAGTGCAAAGCCTCTCCAAGGTGAGATTCAGACTTGCATTTTGTTGCTTTTGCCATAAAGAATGCAAACCCAATATTGCTAGCTAATATAACTTTTTAAGGGAAACTGAGAAATCCATATTTTATGTGAAATTAACAAATCCTTGAAAGTTGACGACTAATTAAAATTGTTTTACAGCACTGCTAAAAGCCAAAGCTATGACAGCCAATTCAAACATATTTGTGGCTACATTTGGCCAACAGCCTGCCATTTATGACCTGTAGTTTATAGTATTTTTACCTAATAATACTTTCCACATGGATTATCTCATTTAATACTAAAATTTTACCCCTATGATGTGGGTAGCGTTATTATTTTACTCTTGAGAAAACTGAAGCTCAGAGTCTAAAGGCTTGCTTAAGCTTAAACAGCCTGTAAGAATAAGAACTAAGATTCAAATCTAGAATATCTGATTTCCAACCAAATTATTTCTATTCCAACTAGCAGAACTGACCTTAGAGTAATTTTTAAAATTCCAGATAGCAGGGGAAACATTAGAGAAATTTTTATATTCTGGTAAGCAGAAAAAAAAGTTAGAGCACCTTTTTTTTTTTTTTTTAACTTGCCCAAAGGCATTGGTTGATACATAGCAGAGCAGGTACAAGAATTCAATCTGCATGACACATTCTTTATTGCTTTTATTTAAGTGACTAGCTGCACTAAATTCTAGTACCAAATGAAAATAAAAGTTTGATTTTGTTCCTTAAATAGCAGTTACAGTTGTACAATTAATGGTTGAGTCATCATTACATGTGTAATAGACGACCTTGAATTAAATCCATTTTACTTTTTGCCTATAGGGAAAATTAAGCAGAATCAATATCGGGTCTTATTAAAATAATTCAATGTAATTGATGGCATATTAAATCTGCTATTTTCTTCTTTGATTTCAATTTGTTCCATTTTTCTTTCTCTTTTTCCAGATTTCTTTTGTATTACTTTAACATTTTTAAATATAATTTGTATTAATCTAGAGTGTTTTCCAGCATATCCGTTTATATAGATTTTTAGGTACTACTTTAGGTGTTACCTTATACACACATGACTTATCATAGTCCATTGAGTCAATATTCCACCTGCTTGAATGATGTGTAGAAACCTAACATTTCTATCCCTTTACTCTTCTCATTTATAATAAATCATCAAATATTTTTTTCCATATCCATTGATAACTACATCAGTGTCATAGTTTTTGCTTCATCTGCCAAGTATAAGCTAGAAAACTTAAGAAGAAAAGAAAAATAGTTTGTGTTGCTATATTTTTACTCTATCTTTTATAAATTCTGACTTTCCTGATGTTCAAAGATTCTTTCTTGATCATTTTCTTTTGGTTTCCAGATTCTTTTAGGTTATTACTGCTAGCAACAAATTCTCTGTTTTCCTTCATCTGAGATTGTTTTTTAATCTTCGTTCCATTCTTGAAGGATATATATATATATAAATATAAATATTTATATATATATAAAAATATAAATATTTATATATATATAAAAATATATTTTTGCTGGATATATGATTCTGGTTTGATAGGTTTTTTTTTGACACTTCTGATATGTTACACTCCTGCAATGATTTTTGATGAGAAATCTGTCGTTCCATTATTCTATTTGTATTTCTTCTATAGTGAAAGTGTTGTTTCTCTCTCAACACTTATCTACAAAAAAATTATCAATATCAACCTTCTGAAAATCAAATATATAAATATATTGATATATTAATATGTAAATTATTCATATTAAAATTAATGTTTCATTCGATATTTATTAATTGAATTAAAATATAGATAATGGCAGGCCCAATGGCTCACACCTGTAATCACAGCACTCTGGGAGGCCGAGGCAGGCAGATCACCTGAGTTCACGAGTTTGAGACTAGACTGATCAACATGGAGAAACCCCGACTCTACTAAAAATACAAAAAATTAGCTGGGCGTGGTGGCGCATGCCTGTAATCCCAGCTACTTGGTAGGCTGAGGTAGGAGAATTGCTTGTACTTGGGAGGTGGAGATTGCAGTGAGCTGAGATCATAAACAGTGCACTCCAGCCCGGGCAACAAAAGCAAAACTCCATCTCAAAAAAGAAATATAGATTATATTTCATATATCAATTTATTTAATATATTGTTTAACATATATTAATATATATTAGTTAAATTATGTTGATATGACTTTGGTAGATTTTTTTGCGTTTATCTTGTTTGGCATTAACATAGCTTCTTCAATCTGTAGGTTTATGTTTCTTGTCACATTCAGGAAATTTTCAACCACTATTCTTTTAAATATTTTTTCATCTCCACCCTCTTTTTCCTCTTCTGGGACTCAGATGACACAAATAGTAGATACTTGGTTATAATACTACAGGTCTCTGAAGCTGCGTGTGTGTGTGTGTGTGTGTGTGTGTGTGTGTGTGTGTGTGTGTGTTGGTTTCTATTTTTTGCTCTCTTTGTTGTTCAGTTTGGTTTATTTCCATCATTCCTTCAAGTTCATTGGTTTGTTCCTCTGTCCGCTCCATTCTGCTGTTGAACTCATCCAAATATTTTATTTTGGTGATTTTATTTTCCATGTTTAAAAATTCCACTTGCTTCTTCTTAATGTCTTTTATTCTTTGCCTTTTTTTTTTTTTTACACAATCCTGGTTTGTCAGGTAGAGAGGGCTATCTTCTCGCATCAAGATGGGGTTTGAAGTGTACTCTCCTCATTTGGCCCTTGCTAATGGGATTGGGGTTGAGGATACAATTTCATTTCTAGTGTTTGCTTGAAGAAGACCAGTTATTTGCTCAAAGTTTTCCGCCTTGCTAGACTGCCCCCTTTCCTGTCCTTTGACTAGAGAAATCAGAGGTATCTTAGACCTTTGTCTCCACCCATTGGCCTCCCGGGGTCGTAGGTTTCTCCAGCACCCAATCTGGGATATATGAGACAAAAAACAAAACAAAACCAGGGAACTTACCATGATGTTTCCTAGATTTCTAAGGTTCTTGTCCAATCTGCTTTCTTTTCTTCATATCTTGGGGACTTAAGTTGGTTTTCTACATTGTATGGAATTTTTACTATGTTAAGAGGGAGCAATAGGAAAAGGTGTGTGCACTCCATTGTTCTCTACATGTTCTCTACGTACTTATATTTATAAATATAGTCTTACGTAATTTACGGAATCCTCTTTAGATAGTTTGGATATTACATAATATGATATATTTCCTTATTTAGTATGTGTTAACTCAGTAAAAATGGTAATGAAATTGATGTGATTCTTTCTCTTATTTTTTTTCATTTCTCTCCTCCACCTGATTCTAGTTGGCTGTATTTTTATTCTTAAAATCTCGATTGAAGCATTCTAAATTCTAGAATATACCATTATACACTTAAACATACTTATTGAATTGTTACATTTAAACAATATATTTTGACACAGACCTATCCCACGTACCCCACAAACTTTAATGAGGAAATAAGATCAGTATACCTATACTCCTTCGCATTCTCTGTCTTTCCAGTTAATGCCTTGTTAGAGCTGTGTTAAAATATCTACAATTGTTATAATTTATAATATTTATATTCCATCTTGTAGGCATAATTTTCACAGTTGTTTTAAACTTAGCCTTAATTAAGATGAATTTAATGTTTACTAATAGTCTTTTTATCAGATATTTCTCATTTATTATTTGGCTGCTCAAATTAACCTTGCGATAGTTTCTTTAGACTATTTTAAGGCTACTATACTTCCAGCAACTTTAAAAAAGTGGTTAGTTTGCTACCATGTTATATTTGAATAACAGCTTAACTGTGTATAAAATACCTGTCACATTTTTTCCTCATGAACTTAATAGGCGTTGATTAGCTGTATGTTAGTAATGAATATTGCTGTGAGGTAAAAAGTCAGACTGATTTTTCTCCTCTTAAGTAGGTTCAAACATTTCCTTATATCCTCAACGGAGTTTCCCCTTGCCTTTGAGCCATTGTAACTATTATTTCCTGGGATAAAATACACTCATTGAATATGTTGCATCAGATCTTTCATTTCAAAGAAAAAATCTTGAATATTATACCTAAATATTTTCCTCTTCCAATTATACATTTATCTCTCATTTCTTTTCCATTTCATTATTTTCATTTTCCTCATTTTTTTTAACCTGGTTGTACTATCAGCAGATTCTGTCCTTTTTTTTACCCGCTCCCAATGTGGCCTTCATTTATGTGATGTGAGGTTTAATTTTCATTTCCACTTCTTTTTTGAGCTCTGCCAGCTTACTTTTTCATTTCCTTTTGTTGTCTTTTCATTTATTCCATGAACCATTGTATCTCTGCACTGCACTCACATTTTATAGAGAAATATAGCGCACTTTTTCATTACATCCTTTGAATTCTTGGAAGAGATTCTAGTTAATATCTTCATGTGCTCCATAGCAAAACTTTTCTGCTCTTGGTTCATCTGCCCTTTCTTTTCCATATTCCTTTTCTCATTTTTTCTTCTTACAGAATTTGCACTAAAAAAGCAAGGGAAGAGTTGAATGGTTTCATTTTTTTGTTTGTAAAATGAGAGGAGTATTTTATGCACAAGCTTCGTTTTGCAATATACCAGGTATTTTGGGAAGGATAATATTGATTTAGGCTTAGAAAAATGATCTTAACTGAAAGAAAGCCTTCTTCATCCAGAATGTAGCTCCATATAACACAGCATGTGGGATGCATGTGTGTGTGTGTGCGCGCGTGTATGTGTGTGTGTGTATAATGTGTGTGTAATGTGTGCGTGTGTGAGTGTGATGTGTGTCTAATGTGTGCGTGTGTGTGTTTGTGTGTGTGATGTGTGTATGTGTGTATGTAATGTGTTTCTGTGTGTGTGTAATGTGTATGTAATGTGTGTGTGTGTAATGTGTGTGTGTTTCTGTGTGTGTGTGTAATGTGTGTGTATAATGTGTGTGTAATGTGTGTGTTTCTGTGTGTGTGTAATGTGTGTGTATAATGTGTGTGTAATGTGTGATGTGTGTGTGATGTGTGTATGTGTGTGTAATGTGTGTGTTTCTGTGTGTGTGTAATGTGTGTGTAATGTGTGCATGTGTGTGTGTGATGTGTGTATGTGTGTGTAATATGTGTGTGTTTCTGTGTGTGTGTGTTTAGCTCCCCTTTAGTTATAAGGCTGCTAACTACCCACAAATTTCTTTCTGTCCTAGTGCAAAGTTAAAAACATGGTATGTCTGTGCAATTCTTGTTTTTTTTCCCCCAGTTTTTCTCTACTCTAAGATGTTCAGTGGGATTCAGAGAAGTTTTTATAGCCCTTCTATGGACGCAATCCTTATTTTTCAGGAAAGTGTCCTTAGTTTTGCTCTCTGTGTGTGCCATGGAGAAGTGCCTGCTCTGCTGGCCCTACTTCAGATCTGTAGGGGCCCATTATTCTCCCTAAAAATCCTTGTTTTCTGAAACTTGACAGCTCTTCTCTCCTTATGATAGTAATAATAACTATTATAATTAGGTGAAGAAAGTTTCGCAGTATTCAACAGATTGTGTTTTTCTCTTTGTCTCCCATTTTTTCCATAGATCTCAGGGAGCCTTTTCAGGTTCAACCTGGTTGAAGAGGATATAACATTCTTTAGTTCTTATAATTAGATATCTGCAACACACAATTTTTGGCAGTTTTATAAAAGTTAACAAATGTTATCTAAAAATTTCTTTCTTTTTTTTTTTTTTTGAGATGGAGTTTTGCTCGTTACCCAGGCTGGAGTGCAATGGCGCGATCTCGGCTCACCACAGCCTCCGCCTCCTGGGTTCAGGCAATTCTCCTGCCTCAGCCTCCTGAGTAGCTGGGATTATAGGCACGCACCAACATGCCCAGCTAATTTTTTGTATTTTTAGTAGAGATGGGGTTTCACCATGTTGACCAGGATGGTCTCGATCTCTTGACCTCATGATCCACCCACCTCAGCCTCCCAAAGTGCTGGGATTACAGCTTGAGCCACCACGCCCGGCCTAAAAATTTCTTCTTAGTCAAGAGTATGCACAAGTTATTATTTACTTTTCTTTCCAATTCATTCTTATCTTCCAGGAAGCTGTTTTCTTTATAGCACTATGGGAGCATGTACTTTCATGTTATTTGAAAGTCACATTAAAAGCAAAAAACTGTTGTAAATATTGCCCATATAGTTATCTTCCTTGGCACCAAATCTGCTTTTGCTGAGTAGCTAACGTAGTGGTTGGACATAGAAGGTGACCCTGCCATCATTGTTACCTTCCTGACACCTGGTTCCCGTTTGGCCAGGTGGACAGTGACACACTCCCGTCACTGGGTCACACTGTCCTGAGTCACAGGAGCACTGTCGAACACAGTCCTGCCCATGGCCATCTTCAGGACAAGCAGCAAGTAAGAGCAAAATAAACCAGAGAAAAACAAAACCAGATTTTTCTTATTAAATATTTTTCCAGACAAGGTTTTTTTTTTAAACTTGTGAAATACATGGCATTTTCATTTAATCAAATAGATTTTACTGACTTGCTTTTAGTTTGATTTTCTGTCTGAAAGGTTGCTTAGAAATAAACAAAGCAAAACAAGGGACAGTTTAAATTGTTGCTAGATAGAGTCATTTTAGTTGGTGTTAGGAATTTTCAACCAAATATCTAGTGTCAAAAACTTACATATAATATAAATGTCTCTTACACATTAGGGACCTCAACTGTTCCCAATTTGGATTGCTTTGCTTTGCCAAAGCAAAGTATCCTAGCAAGTATAAGAGAGAGTATGTGTGTGTGTATGTGTATGCATATGTATATATTACACATATATATATGCATGTAGTATATGTAGGCATGTTATGTGTACATATACATTATATAACATATTTAGGTATGTGTACATATGTTATACAATATATGTATGTATATTATATATATTACAAATATATATTTGTAATAATCTTAAGCCCATTGTATAATTTTAGCTAAAATTCCTATACACAAATAGATTCATAATGCTCATATCTTTAAATATTCATTTCTATATTTATATTATTAATTTGTCTGGTTATTTTTTTGCAACGTCATTCCACAAATTCATCGAGATGCTTTCCAAAATATATATAACACACAACGATAAAATAAATATCTGTTCAGAATCACATAAGGGGAAAATGCAGTAATAATATGAAATAAATATCATATTTTTTGGAACATTTAAGAGGTGGATTGCAAATTTGGCTCTATCCTACTTAGCTGTCAAAGCAAATGGAAAGTGCTCAGGTACAAGATCACAACTCTCTGAAGACAAAAGTACCCTCAACGTTCAGAGAAATCACAGCTTTTGAAAATGCTTGGCAGGAGGACATTTCTTCCACTTACTCTCTTTGAAGAACACATACAAAGGAACCAGACAGAACCTGGCTTAAGAAATGTTTATCGGCTGGCCTTAACTGAAAGATAACTTGCAGGTGAGGCCTCAGGAGGCACTATCCACTAAGTGTCAGTTGAGTGCTACCTGCAGCCAGGTTTTATCTTGTCTCTTCTTCTCAATACAGCAGAACACTGCGGCCTGCAGGGCACTTAAACAGAAAAACGACCCTCCTACAAAGCAGGCAAAGCAATTAGCTGCCCAGGAAACATAAGCATTTTGGGTATCTTTAGCACATAACAGTTTAGGACCCTAAATTACAAACGTAGCTATGATTCATCCAAATGAAGGAATTGCAAATGAAGGTCTTTCATAATCTACTTCATAGATGTTGAGGTGTGTGTACATGGATGAGGGTTGAGGCAGTACTTCCATCTTTAATTTAAGATCTATTGGAGGTATTTTCTCTTTTAACTGTGAGGTATAAGATTACAGAATAAAGCACAAAACACCAGTATTCAGTTCAGTGGATGATCACAAAGTGAACATCCTCATTCATAGCACCCATGTCAAAAATTCAGTATTGCCAGGACTGACTCCCCGACAATGTGCTTCCCTGCTCATGGCTTCCTTTATCCTCCCCAGAAACCAACATAATTGTGGCTTCACATGTGAGAGTTTCATTTTGACTGTCACCAGAAGGGTCAGAGGAGTCAGAGTATATGAGTATGTGTAGTTATTTGGGTTAAGCAAAAACTGTATACATATTTTTTAAATGGCACATCTGAAAAATAACGAAAACAAAATACACTTGGTATCGATAAGCTCAGAGAGTCTAAGCCTGTGAATTTGTAAGGGTTCTTCAATGCAGTGCCTTAAACTTTACGGCAATAGTTGATTTCGTGATAAGTAGTTAAGTTAAGGTCTTTCGCTTTTAGGAAAGTGTTCACTTTATGGTGAGGTGTGAAACCACTTACTTTTGAGCTAGGGAATCACTCAGCATAAATGAAATTGTGGAACTTTAGACAGCGAGTTTGACATTGTGAACACAAAAATTTCAAGTTTGCTCTGATCTTGGCAAACATATTTTCTAATACTGACTTGAGTCTAACATTGCTGGGGCAGGAAGTTATCACCAAAAAGATCTCCTTGGCTACTTTCACTGACTCTAGCTTTTAGCCAAACTCCTACATAAATATTCTTCAACCTAGAATTCAGGTCAGTTTGTGTTTGCTGTTAGTACTGTAAATTAGCAAGTAAAATAAATGCAACATGTATTATTTAACCGCAGTTCTTAAAAACTCCAGTTAGCTTTACTACCTTTGCTACCATTATTGGGCCTTGCAATGATCAGCATATCCACTGCATAATGGTAAGTACAACTTCCTGTGACTTCAGTCGGCCCCAGTGAAGCCAGGAAGGCAGATACAGGTGCCAATCATGGTGTCACAGGTGCCACCATTCAGGGACTTACACATCTTTTGGCAATATGGAATAAACATGACCCTTGGGCACCCTGTTAAAGGAGAACAAAATCATATGTGGTATTGTAACTTACAGCAAACAGTGTTTAAATTCAGTCCAGTAGACAAGCCGTCTGAGCCAGCAATCCCGTTCCTGGGTGTATACCCAAAGAATTAATGTGGTTAACTCAACATTCCAATTACTATTTATATTTTCAGTCACCTTCAAGCTGTTGATTCAAGGCATGGAGTTATCTGAGGACATGAGATGATACAGAAATTATTAGTATTTGATGCTGCCCATTAATAAAGTATAACTTAACTTTGTACTTTCTTGTAAATCTACCTACTTTTATTTTTAGTTTTCACTATACTTTAAGTTCTGGGGTACATGTGCAGAATGTGCAGGGTTGTTACATAGCTATACATGTGCCATGGTGGTTTGCTGCATCCATCCACCATCATCTACATTAGGTATTTCTCCCAATGTTATCCCTCCCCTATCCTCCCACCCACCCCCGCTATCCCTCCCCTAGCACTCCCACCCCTGACAGGTGGGATGTTCCCCTTCCTGTGTCCATGTGTTCTCAATGTTCAACACCCACCCATGAGTGAGAACATGTAGTGTTTGCTTTTCTGTTCTTGTTTCAGTTTGCTGAGAATGATGGTTTCCAGCTTTATCCATGTCCCTGCAAAGGACATAAACTCATCTTTTTTAATGGCTGTATAGTATTCCATGGTGTATATCTGCTACCGTTTCTTTATCTAGACCATCATTGATGGGCATTTGTGTTGGTTCCAAGGCTTTGCTATTGCAAACTGTGCCACAGTAAACATATGTGTGCATGTGTCCTCATAACAGAATGATTTATACTCCTTTGGATGTATATCCGGTAATGGGAATGCTGAGTCAAATGGTTCTATTTCTAGATCCTTGAGGAATCACCACACTGTCTACCACAGTGGTTGAACTAATTTACACTCCCACCAGCAGTGTAAAAGTGTTCCTATTTCTCCACATCCTCTCCAGCATTTGTCTCCTGATTTTTTAATGATCGCCATTCTAACGGGGCTGAGATGGCATCTCAATGTGGTTTTGATCTGCATTTCCCTAAGGACCGGTGATAATGAGCTTTCTTTCATATGTTTGTCAGCTGCATAAATGTCTTCTTTTGAAAAGTGTCTGTTCATATCCTTTTCCTGCTTTTTGATGGGGCTGTTTGATTTTTTCATGTAAATTTGTTTTAGTTCTTTATAGATTCTGTATATTATCCCTTCTTCAGGTGGGTAGATTGCAAAATTTTTTTTTCCATTCTGAAAGTGCTTAGGAGAAAATTCATTGAACAAGGCTATCTAATTTCAACATACATAAATTCATTATTTTAAATATTTAAGTGTTATAGCTTGTCTTGTCTGGGATGATCTGGTTTTAATACACGTAAGAATTCAAAAAGGAACCAAGTATAGAGGATGCCTCTTCATTTTCTATTAGTTTTTCAATTTTCTACTTTCATATCTAGGGAGGTATGGCCTACCATGAAGATGCTTGTACAAGAGATAAATAATGGCCAAAGAATGGTTTGTGTTGAGATTCAAATTTTTATAATCCCCACATATGTCCTGTCTGGAAACCTAAAATTCTCATCTTGATGAGTTTCTGTCCTTTGTAGGGACATGGACGAACCTGGAGAACATCATTCTCAGCAAACTGACACAAGAACAGAAAATGAAATACCGCATGTTCTCACTCATAGGCGGGGTGCTGAACAATGAGAACACATGGACACAGGGAGGGGAGCACTACACACTGGGGTCTGTTGGGGGGAATAGAGGAGGGACAGTGGGGGGTGGGGAGTTGGGGAGAGATAGCATGGCGAGAAATGCCAGATATAGGTGAAGGGGAGGAAGGCAGCAAATCACACTGCCACGTGTGTACCTATGCAACTATCTTGCATGTTCTTCACATGTACCGCAAAACCTAAAATGTAATAAAAAAATTCTCTACTTGAGTCTTAGATTTGCTTATCTACTCAAGAGTGGCTGATTCTTTCCTCCCTTTTCATTACAGTTAAAAATGAAATTCTCCATTATGGAGATAGAAGGCAAACACTTTAAAACTGCTCATACCAAAGATTATTCACTTGTACAGCTGTTGTGTTTCTTTATTGCTTTCTGTGAAAAACAGTGGGTTTACTCCACATTCGCTCCTGTCAGTCATTTCCTCCCATCAAGAGATGTCAGTTCTCATAGGTAATTGACCCTTTTTGGTGCACAGCAATTTTTTGTTTTAGTCCTCCCAAGTAGTATTTTTCTCTCTCACTTATAACAATTTGAGTGTAACCCAAAAACAGAATCAGTGAGTGGATGTGCCTAAAAACAAAATTAGTGACTTTTTTTAAAGTCTCCATCTTCTTCTCTTCTACCATTCACCAAGATATAAAAACTCTTCTTTCACATCGATTTGGGTCAGCTTTGAGAACACAGGTATTTACAGTTTTTATCAAGTTACTAATACAGTAAAATAAATGTGATGCTGAAAAAGAATGTTTGGTTGCTTGACATTGGAGAAAAATGCATAAAACATGCTGAAAATCATGCTGAAAATGCGGCAATTGAAACCTTAAGGTTTGATGTGTACTGCTGACATACTGCTTTCAGAAAAGGAGGTTAAATTATAAGAGTTCACTGGTATAGAAAACTCTCCAGTGGTGTTACTCTGAAGGGAAAGAGAACATGGATTTCTACGCAAGTAAGGAAAGGAGCAACACAATAAAGAGTGAAACTTACGTTTTTATGGAGGGAAATGTTACACTTCAGATATATCACACATATCAAAGAATCAGCATCTCAGTTGAAAGGAAAAAAAACCAGCTTGTTTAATTGATGAATTTAAATAACTGGTGTAGGTGAAGGTCTAGATTTTGAGATAATTTTCATGTGAATTGGTTACTTAGAAAACATAATTTTCCTCTGATGTGAACCTATTTTTCAAACTTTCTTAATGACAGTTTTATATTTGATAGAATCATCCTTTGTTGTTCTTTCTTCATGTGTTTGTATATGTATGTTTGTGTATATATATATATATGTATATATTTGAAAATCACCTGATTTTTAGCCTTCAACTTTTGAAATTGGGGAAACAACTTGACGAAATTAACCTACTAATGAGTGAGCCATCTGTTTGAAAGATACTATCTGTGCTAACCTCTTAGTCCCAAAACCCATTGAATTTGTATCACGCGTATGATATGTGTTTATAGATGAGCCCATGGCATTTTTTTTCTAAGAGTAAATTATTTTATAGACAATTTCACTTTCCTATCCAATTCCATGCTATGTGAAGTCTGAATTCTGGAATCACGCACAGAGCACTTGCTCAAATGTTCACCAAATTTAACAACAAAATGCACATAAAGGACACAATGATTTTACTTGGCTCATCCCTTCCCTCATTTCCTAAATCCATTTTGATCTTTGCTTGGCCTGTACTCTGTAATTTATAATTATTTCTCCTTGGAAATTTTGTATTTTCCATTACAAGGTGACTATTTTTTTTCCCGTCCTTGTACATCTCCTCTTAAATTCTCATTCCAAGAAGTTCAGATAGGAATTTACAGTTCTGATTTGTTTAAACATTAAAGGTTAAGTGGAAACCCCTTTGCTACTGTATACTATTATTATGTGAATGGCCTTTGGTACTATCATTAGAAACTTAAAACAAACAAGGCTATGACTGCATCCTGAGACACGTAGCTCTCAAGAAATGAAAAGCATGAATCTGTTTTCCACAGAGTCTGTTTTCTTAGTATTTTACCAGGTTACTCAGATACACGAGCCATTGTTATACAGTTTTGCTTTATTCTTAAAAGGAGATACTGACATTTTTGGTCTGTTTGAATTTTTATTGCTGTGAGCAATAGCATTAAAGCCAAACTTCTGTTAATGTCTTGATATTTTTCTCTTGGCGCTGGCGAATACTGTGTGGCCCATGCTTCTCAAAGCATTCTATGCCAAGTGTGGTGGTGTTTTTATAAACACTGTTAAAAGAAGTGACCATAGTTATAGAGGATTCTAATGCCTTAAATATCCTTAAAGAGAGCGATTTTAAACAGCATGTATTACATACAGGTTGGAGAAGTAAAGGGTTTCCAGGATCTGTGGTGACTTTAAAATCTCTTATTGATCATAAAGTACATAGCACTATGAGTTTAGGACTGACCTACCTGTCCTCTGAAATATGCACAAGTGATGAGATTCTACTGTAAATTTGTCTGCTTCCTCTGACCTCTGCTGAGAGAAAATTTTGATACTCCATTCTGAACTCGAGAACATGAAAGCCCAGTTGCTCTTGGCTGCTGAATGTTTTGCTTTTAAGCCAGCTACACCTTTTATGGATATTTTCTTGAATCTTCTTTCATAGTCCTGTAATTATAGTTGATGTTGCCAAGGAATCCTTGCAGCCACATCCAACCACGTGTTGCCTGGAAGTAAGCCAATTTGACTAGTCAGGGAGCAGTTCCCTGACTCAGCCAGTCTCACTTTTTACAAGGTAAAGCTACCCTCCTTCAACTAAAGGTAGCTTGCCTTCTGAAATAAAGTGGGACCCAGTTACATGTAACTTGATATTATTTTATTAGGATAAAACATCCTCGCTATAAAGAAGAAATTCTTTCTGAGACATTTGAATCAAATGTAGGAAATAACTTTCTTTCTTCTAATACAAGGATGCTTGAAATTTGCATAAATAAAAACTAATGGAAATGATTAATTTTATATCTTAGTTCTTCATTTTAAGTTCGCATAACTTCAATGGTTATAGATCCCAAGCAAAACAATAATTGAACCCATTCTCATACATGCTTAACTGTGCTTTTAGCTGGTAATGTTGAAAATTAGGACAAAATAGGGAAGCAGTATTTAAAATATATATTCAATGGCTTATTGAAAATTAAAATCAATAGCTTGACAAGGAGTCAGTATTTTGGGTTTAGAGAGAAAAATCCCCAAATTATTCATATCCTTGTAGAATTAGGAAAGTAAAAAGAATCTGCTCTAGGAATGACTCGGGAGGAAAGACAGCAGCAGTCGCCAAGTTGGGGGAAAAATTAAATCTATAAAAAGTACATTATAAATAATTACAAGCTTAAAAAATAAGTAGCTGGCTGAATATTTTAACATGCTCCTTGGACTTTTTTTGTGCATTCTTCTATAACCATTTTCAATGTTAAAATATCCTTTAAAAAATCAATGCAAGGTGTTTGGTCTAGGGACTATTCTTTTTTATTACACAATAGGGAGCCAACTGGCATTTGGTCATTTAAGCTAGTCATCATGTTCATTCCAGAATAACAATTTGCTTAATTTCATTGTTCCTAAGCAGACCCTGGAATTAACTTACTTTATGAATCATTTGAAATATATTGTAGTTTGCTGTTTATTGATTCATAATAATAAGTTTACGTTTCCTTATTTTTTTTCTTTCTATGGTGGATATTTGTGAAGAACTTGGGAATACTTTGAATAGAAAAGGCAAAATAGAAGAATGAGTTACACAGAAAGTACATGTTTTCAACTAGTCAAATATAAATGCTGACAGAATTTTCTATGAATTAGAAGCTTCAGTTAGCATTTGCCCTTTGGTATTCTGAGTGATGACCCCCAACCCCACCAGTGCCTCCTCAATAAATTACAGCTGAGCACAGAACACACATACAGAGAAGACAATGTTTTCCATGGTAGCCAGGCATACAGGTGCATCTCCCTATGACTGGGTGACAGTCCTCATTCTTGGCTGAACACTGACATACCTGGTTACCGTCCTTTCCATATGTGCCTGGTGGACAAACTAAGGGAAGAGGAAATATAAGCCCAATGAATTAAATTTGTCTGTGTAAATATAGCTCTAAAAGTGAAAGCAGGGAAAAATTTATTAAATAAGACCATTGCCTACGGAAGTGTGCTGCCCTTTGGGATTTAGGTTCCATTACATTTATTTGGGGATTACTTCACTGTTTGATTTTGTTTTGTTCGGTCAATTTGTGACCAACTGTCAAGGGCTGGCTGCAATTTTCTTATCACGGAAAAAAAATCATACGGTAATGTCAGGTAAAATCAACTAAAATAATAGTATAATTCATGAGGGACCACATATATGGATAAAGAATTTTTTTTTCTGTTGCAGCTAGTTTAAACTCTCAAGGTTCTTTCTCTTTGCACATTAGCATGCATTGTATTTGTGTCACCCGTCAGCCACTCTGCTGAGTTCTGGTGTTTTCTTTTTACAGACTGTGCAATGAAAGCTTCCCTCCAATTTTTAAATAACGTCATGACATAAAAAAAGTCTTTCTTGGTATTTTTCAGCTAATAAAAGTAAGTCAAGTAGACATTTTGAGTTTCATGGTTGTGTCTCCATGAGAATTCAAACAAATTCAGTGAAAAAAATCAGCCAAGTTGGTCTGTAGGTCCCACAGACCTGAAATTGTATAATAATCCTTAGACCCATCATCTTACTACTTTGGCCTTTTAGCATCAGGAGTACATGAAAGAATTAACATTATTGTTTTGTTCACTGCATCCACGTTTTTGTTTACTGTTCTTGTGTGCCTATGGTGTCCCTTGTATTCCTAGCATCCACTGTCCTTAATACTATTTAATCTTACAGCCTTAAGTAAAAATAACAGCAATGTAGAAATTCCATCAGTTGCTTGCTTAGTATTAAGAACAAAGAGATAGATGAAACATGGGGTGATTAAGACAATGAAAATTCTCAATGTTTTTTCTCCCATTCTTGATTGGGACATGCACAAATCTAAGAGCATTAGGTAGAATCTGACTCAGCATCTGAACAGTTATTTTTATAGTCGGCTGTTGGTCTAGACATCTTTTTATCTAAGAGTCACCAATTGTTCAAATATTTTTCCATAAAGTATTCATTGTGAACTTGCCAGATACACCGAAAGGTGCACCATGTGGCTTTACTCTCTGGAAAGCTGGGTTGATAAGTGGCTAACAGGAGAACTGACCATGGTGTTTTAGATGTTGCTGAGAGTGGATGCACGTGATGTTTTTACTCCCTCTATCTCATTGTCATTAAACACATGAGAGCATCATCTACATTTCACTGTGTCTTGATGAAAGGAACTACCTCATGGGAGGTTTCTAACCTGAAAAGCCAGTAAACAAACAAACAAAAAAAGTAGAAATACGTTTCATTAGAGGCTCCTGAATCCTTAGAGAACAAGAGCTGAAGTTAAGACCAGTTCTTCCCATCATTGGGAAGATCTGTTTTTGCCACAGGATACATGAGCATAAAGCTTGGTCTTCCCATAGCAAATATGCCCACAAAACACTGTACCCTGAGGAGATTAATAATACTGAAAAGTGAAAGTGGCTGTGCTGAACACAATAGGGTTTGTGTAACTAATGCTAGTATTCCAATGTATTTAGCTATTCCCCAACTATTGAGGTATGGAACCCAGTGGTATAGGGCTTTGAAGGAAGGGATGATTTGGTTGGTGTTCTTTAAGAGACAGAGCTGTCATGCAAATTGCGCTGGTCTGAAAGTATCCAGTGAAAGTAGTGTTGTCCAGAGGAAATGGCAGGATCTTTGGGCCCAACTCTGCCCTTGACCTGATCTCTGGTATTAAAGTTATTTGAGCTCTAAGATCTTCAGCCTTCTTCTCTATAAAATGAGATTAATGGAATCTATCTCACAGATTTTTGTGAGGAGTAATACAGTTGAAATAGTAACATATAGCAATCTCGTAGTGCCTAAACAAAATTTATTTCTGTTCTATCCAAACCCTTATATTTAAAATCAGAATCAACTGTGCAACAAGGTGCTGTATATAAACAAACAACATAGAAGACTTCAGCAAAATTATTGAGAAAAATTGTTTAAAATTTAAAGACCATCTTGACATGTATCTGTTATTGATGGAAAATTATTTCTTAAAAACATTGAAATCACTTGACGTAAACCTTCAGAAACACATACAAATAAAATTTATCAATATTCACATTAATTTCCAATGTCTAGGGCTTTATGGAACTATTCACACATGTTAATCACTTTTCCATACTAAAAGGAGCCCTGGGACACCTTTAGCTTTGAGTATTCAAACACAGAGAGGAACCAGCTCATGCCTGTAATCCCAGCACTTTGTGAGGCTGAGGTGGGTAGATCAGGAAGTCAGGAGTTGGAGACCAGCCTGACCAACATGGTGAAACCCCATCTCCACTAAAAATACAAAAATTAGCTGGGTATGGTGGCACGCACCTGTAGTCCCAGCTACTCAGGAAGCTGAGGTGGAAGAATCACTTGAACCCAGGAGTCGGAGGTTGCAGTGAGCTGAGACCATGCCATTGCACTCCAGCCTGGGTGACAGAGTGAGATTCCCTCTCAAATAGAAAAAAAGAAATACAGAGAAATCAAAATTGTAGAATATAGGAATAATATACTCCTGAGCAACTGACCTCTTAGTGCTCTTATAGTCAGTTCTCAAGTGGATTTTCAAACCTTACTGAAGGAATTTACAGTTTGTTTAGCAAGACAGTAAAATGAAAATCAAAATAAAGAAATAAAAGCAAGAAAAAACATTCTGAATGTTACCTCAAAATAATTTTTGATAATATAGTGTTTCTCATATTACATAGTCCTCATGAAAATTGTCCATCAATTATTATCCAACTAAATAATAATGACTTTGAGACTTCAGAGGGTATCAAAGCCTGATAGCTTCATGTTTTCTGCAAGAGATGGTAAGTAACACAAACAATCACTCTTGTTAGTTTATTGTCTTATGCTTCTGGATGGACTGCATTGTAGTGCACAGTTTTGGTCTGTCTTACAAGCCATGCAGAATTCTGAATCTTTTCATTCAGCCAAGAAATATTCCCTGAATACCTACTATGTGCCAGGTTCACAACAGTGAGCAAAACCAGGCATGATTCTGGTACTTTTAAGCTTGTAATAGTGAAGAGAAAGAAACATGATTAAATAATTATTCAAATAAATACCAAATTTAAACAAGTGACAGGGTAAGGGGTGCTGTGAGGAGAATCGTAGCAGGGACCCCAGTTTAGACTGGCATGGGTGGAGGTGTTCAGTTCCAGATATTGTCTCTGAGGAGATCACTATTTCACTGACATCTAAAACACTAGGTAGTATAAAAGTATACACAGAGATAAGGGGAAGAGGAGAAAGAAAGAGTAGAGATAGAAAACAGTTCTAGAGAGAAAATACTGGGTATATATGAGTTACTGATATAATTCTTAAGGATATATTGGCAAAGGTATATGCATGTTAGACAATGATCAACTTACATTGTTATAAACTTCTTTTTGGTCTTCTTAAATTATTTTAAGTTTTTCAACGTTAGAGAAAAGACTTTGTTAATCAAATGACATAATTGTTTCAGCAGGCTCAAATTAAGCAAAACTCTATAGAATACACACCAATTATAGTGATAGTTATCAAAAAGCAGAATGAATTATAATTATAATAATATTTTAGCACATTATCAGATATCCACCTGCAAGAATTCCTGTGTGCAGTGGCAATACTGTTTCTTGTATTTTGTTTTTTATTTCAATAGGTTTTTGGGGAACAGGTGGTGTTTGGTCACATGAATAAGTTCTTCAGTGGTGATTTCTTATAAACGTTTCTGTATCAGTGTCCTATGGCTGCTATAACGATTACCACTAATACGCATTTATAATTCAGTGGCTTTAAACAATATAAATGCATTATCTCACAATACTGAAGATCAGAAGTAGAAATCAAGGTATTGCAGAAAACTGTTCCTTCTGGAGGCTTGAGGGGAGAATCGATTTTCTCGCTCTTTTCCAGTGTCTGGAAGCCGCCTACACTGTTGTGACATCTCCCTCCTCAGCTTGTGACATCTCCCTCCATCTTTGAAGCCAGCAGCTTAGATTCTCTCTTCTCTGATCTCCTTATAAACTTTCATGATTACACTGGACCTACTCAACAATCTAGGAAAATCTCCCCAGTTTCTGAAGCTTGACTTGATGGCATCTGCAAAGTCCCTTTTGATAAAATGTAAGGTCAAATATTCATATTCCAGGAATTAGGACATGGGCATCTCGAGGGGCGCCATGATCTCTGTGTTCCCAACTGTTTTAAGTAGCTTCTGATTCATCTGTTAGAGACCATGTTATCATGTAAAGAACTCTACTGTAGTACAACTCTTTATAGAAATGAATCCAAATATCATATTTCTTAAAACTATGTGACATAAAAATACATGGACAAATTATGACCAATTATTTTAAAAGTTTTATTTAGTTAATGGATCCAAAAGAGAAGTTTTAATACAATGTTACATTGAGAAAGGCTTAAGATTCTTGGGATAAGGTCAGGAGCCAATAAACATTTTGAAAGCAGCTTGAGACTTTCAGAGAAAGATTTGTGAACAAAAAAGAAAGACTTCCCAAAGTAAAACTTGGAGAAATGAAGGACTAACTTTAGATCACAGCAAAAGTCTCTGGAGCAGAAACTGCTTGCCTCCTTTAGTGGTGTATATAACATTACTGCCCTGTTGTTTTTTTTTTTAAGACTTTAAGGCAACCCCACCATCAAGATAACAGCAGGTGCCTTTTGCATGAAGTCTTCTTTAAGCAGTGGCTATTGGGCATATGATATGATAAGCAAACACCAAATCACTTGCACAAATGACCTGGCCAAGAAGTGACAAAACCAGGAGCAGAACCAGGTTATTTTCAGGAATGAGCTCCAAGCTTTCCCCCACGCTCTCAGGGCTTCTTCTTAGGAAGTGAGAGATACAATATTATATAATCTTGAAGAGATCACAAAGGCAGAGCACAGGCAAAGTTGTGGTTTAAGTTAATGGGTAGGAAAATCAGTCTGAAAAGCTTTACATTAATTTCGTGTTCATCTTGATTATTAATTAGCCACCCAGAAGAACTGCTCAAACCAGTTTGAAGTAATGTAGCTGATACTTCTTCCTAGCTAAAATCATTCTGGGAAACTAAATGACCACAAAACCCCTACTTATAGCGTCTGTATAGATTTAAGGTATTTCTCCATATAACGCTACATTTTATTGTGAATTAATTTGTTAATATACTAAAAAAAGAATAGATAGTGACTATTTTCACTTAGGTAGAACATAAATCATTTTGACTATGAAGATATAACCTAAATATAGGTAAATACCCCCCAAAATTTGGAAGGGGAAAATTTATTGTTTTGATTTGTTAACTTCTCAGTCATTTCACTAATTTTCATTAAAAAAATTGAGGATCAGCTTTGCTAAGATTCAAGTTGAGACAAAGGCAACTAGTAAAAGAAGTAGGTTTATCTCATAAATACTGAACCTCACCTAGTTACAAACTGCAGGGTAAAGTTTATAATTGAACTTTGTGCTTCTGAGAAATAATTATTTTCTTCAAGGTAACTTCTGAAAGGTAATTATTTTTCTATCAAATTTAAAAACAAATGAGATATTAGCTAGAGACTTAAATAATACATCCTTATTGAATTATCTATGACTTTATCTAATTATTGCCCATGAACAGTATTTCTAGTTGGCAAATACTTTATGAGATGTCATATAGAAAAGGTATATATAAGAGAATACAATGGATTGACTTTTTGTTAAATTAGGACTGTTTTAGCATTTGACACGGCATGGAATACCACCCTGTAGTCAGACCCTGTTTGGCCTGGCAAGAAGATACATTGTGCAGCCCAAGATCACAGTCCTTCCATTGTGGCAATTACAAACTCTATCACCATATATACCAGCACAGTGTCCCTAACATGCTAAATAAGCCTACACAGAAAGAGAAGTGTTTTGGTTTGTTAAAAGAACTATCCAACACTCTGCCAATTTTTTTTTTAAAGCCTATGGCTTTCATGATGGGCAGAGGGGTGTATTCAAGTTTCATTTAATACTTCACTTTTCACAAATTGGGACTGACCTTTTGTGGTTTATGACAGCATTTGTTGCTCAGGTCTTTATCAAAGGCCTGGAACCACGGGGGTGATAGATCAGCTGTCATCCACCCGTTCCTCAGAATGTCTTTGTATTAAACTAATGGTCCAGCAGAGCAGCCAGTCTGACAGGCAGGTTATTTATTTGCAATCTGGTAAAAGAACTGACAACTTCATTGTTTTAATTGTTCATTTTTCATCAGTTGATGCATTAGCTCACCCGGATCTTTATGCCTCAGTCAGAGAACAAATATATGGGAGTCAGGACACCAGAATGACTGGGTCCCTCTTAAGTTCAAGAAGCCGGAGATAGCCCCAGGCTAGCTGTGATTACCAGCAGCCATGTGCATTTGGGGAATTTTTGGTCTTATCTCTGCTCTGCATCTCTTTCCTCTCTTTCAGGAAGACCTATGATGTCAGCTACGGATCTGATTGTTTTTTGAAACAATGTCCCTGGTTCTCACAGACTATTAAAGGAGAAAGACTGGAGTGGGCTGAGCGTCTCCACAGCTCAATGACAGTGGGGGCCTGCCCATCAGTCATAGAATTAGAGGCCCAGAGACCTCACATATCATGATATCATGGAGAATAGACAGCTCAGGCCAGTGTCTCTCAGAATCGCTGGCAAGATTTTTCCTAAAAACGCATGGCCTGGCCTCCCCTGGGTGATTCTAATTCAGTGACTCTTTGGTAGAAATTGTATATGTATACATATATATGTGTCTGTGTGTGTGTGTATGTGTGTGTATACTTCATATATTGGATGACCAGGAAACATAATTTTATATATATACATGTATATATGTATACACACACACACACAAAATTATGTTTTGTGACAGTTATGCTTATTAGCCATAAATATAAATGTGTATTTCTGTTAAATATAAATTTAATGTACACATATTTCTGAATCCTAATATTTAACTGTTCGTTGAGAACCACTGATCTAGAGTCTAGACTAACACCCTCAATCTATAGATAAGATAGACTGAATTACTGAATCAAGGACATAGCTAATTAGTAGCAGAGCTAGAACTGGAACTCAGGCATCTGAACCCTCAGGTCAATGCACTTTTTTATTCTCCACATCAGATACAAATCTCCAAAACGACAGAGACACTGGTTCTACCAATGGCTTCTGCACATGCTAATGTATCAAGGAGGTCTCCATTTGCTCTCAAAGCTCATCTCAAAAGTTGGCCTTTAGAGAGCAGAGGACAACTCAACAGTTCAATTACAACCATGGAGAAGGTTCCTGTTAAACTACTGGCACCCAGATTACATTATTATTTTACTGCTTTCCTTCACATTAAAATTGAGAACACTTCTAGGAGGGAGGCAATGTTTTAGTATTCTCAATGCATCTGACACCTCACATAGAACCCAAAACGCAGAATGCTCACTTAATGTTTTGGGGAGAGAGAAAGGAAGGTAGGAGGAAAGGAAAGGACAGAGACAGTCAGGCAAGCAGGCAAACTGCTCTAGTACAAAATACACATAATTGTAAAAAAGCTTGCCCTATAAAAAGACAGAACATTAGCTCCCTATATGGTGTGTTTATACATTCACTTGCTTATTAAAAAATTATTCAATATTTACTATGGATCACTGTCCTGTGTTTGGCACTGATGGCATAAAATCGAGTAAGGTTAGTGTCTGTGGCTGGGAGTGGCTCATGCCTGTAATCCCAGCAGTTTGGGAGGCCGAGGTCGTGGATCTACTGAGGTGAGGAGTTCGAGACCAGTCTGGCCAACATGGTGAAACCGTATCTATAATAAAAATACAAAGATTAGCTGGGCATGGTGGTTGGCACCTGTAATCCTAGCTACTTGGGGGGCTGAGGCAGGAGAATTGCTGAAACCCAAGAGGCAGAGGCTGCACTGAGCCGAGATTGTGCCACTGCACTCCAGCCCCAGCAAGAGAGACTCCGTGTCAAAAAAAAAAAAAAAAAAATTAGTGTTTGTTTTCAAGTATCCAATAGACTGATTCAGGAAGCTATGTGAAAAATTAACACGAAACAATCTGACAAGTGTTACTAACAGAGACTTACAAAAAGGATGAAAGCATCCTAAATAATAGTCAATCCCATCAGGAGAGAATCAGGGTATCCTTACATGGTAGTATTAGAATTGGGCTAGAAGAGTGAGTAGAAATTCACCAGTCAGAAGAAACAGCATGAATAAGTAAAGTGTTTTATTGAAAGTGATAATTACATTTGCTTTATGGCTACAGGACAGGATTTAGGGACTCGTTTGATGTTGGAGAGTTGTGTGGTTCCTTAAAAGTGACAGGTTTTTAACACCTAGCTGAAGACTTAGTCTTAGGCACCTAGGTAGCCGTAGGAATGCGATAATCAGACTGATGACAATATGCATATTGGATTGGAGGATGGTAGCCCCAGTGGGGCCATTGCCAGCATTCCAGCAATAGATAACATGAAACAGAACCAGAGCTCTGGAAAAAAATGGGGACAGAAGCTGTGCCAAAAAGATGTTTTTGAGGTGTAATGGGAAGTACTGATGACAGATAGTGTAAGAGGCAAAGGAGAGGTCTATCTGTTCCTACATGGTTATTCCATTGTTTGTTGTCATTGTTTACTCTTACAATATGACCTCTCTCTTCCAAAATGGCCTATGATTCTCACATTCTAGTTATTAAGATTAAAAAATATTAAGACATTGACTTTGGAAGGCTTACAGCAAATAGGCACATCTGAATCAGCATGTAGACTTCCTCCTATTTATAAAAACAGGCTTTTTTAGCTTGCCTTTTTAGTAGGAGCACTGGCTAGAGAAGGCACAAGATAGGCTGGGCCTGGTGGCTCATGCCTGTAATCCCAGCACTTTGGGAGGCCAAGGCGGGTGGACCACAAGATCAGGAGTTCGAGACTAGCCCGGCTAACATGGTGAAACCCTGTCTCTACTAAAAATACAAAAATAAGCTGGGCATGGTAGTGGGTACCTGTAATTCCAGCTACTTGGGAGGCTGAGGCAGGAAAATCACTTGAACCAGGGAGGCGGATGTTGCAGTGAGCTGAGATCGCACGACTGCACTCCAGCCTGGACAACAGAATAACACTCTGTCTCAAAAAAAAAAAAAAAAAGAGAGAGAGAGAAAAGGCACAAGACAGAACATAGGCACTGCAAGAGATACAGATTGGGGATGCTCTGGGGGCTGAAGGTTGGAAGCAACATGAGCATGTGAGTCAGAAAAGGGCGAAGCTCGTAAGGCAATGGCTCTAGGACAAGTCCTGGAAATAAGCTCTGCCTGGTTCATTCCTTTTATGCTCGCTTTCTGAGTATGCACTCATCTAGAGAACAATCACTAAGGAAATGTTCATAGTGTTTCAGTGCTGAGTCCAAAGTGATAGTGTTCCTTTTTGCAATGGGCACCTTATATACTTCTGTTAGCATGGCATCCCCTAGGGCACTGATGACAGCTGCTGTCTCATTTGTGAAATTTGGTGGTTGCCATCCCTAGATGTGTGGATAGTGCCCATAAATATCTAGCAAAAGTCCCTGCCCATCAGTGCTCCAGACAAAAACTGAACAATGAATCAAAATTTTGAAATATTAAAATTCCAGTATAATGCTAATGGATTATATGAATACCCTGGAAGACATAAACCCATCCAGTAAAACCAAGGGTTAATTTATTCATGCATGTTTTTCCATTTTTTTTTCTTGTATTTTGTCCAGCTGCTAAAAGGTGAAAAATAAGTAGCATGGTTACAATATCTGTGGTTAGGACACTAACCTTTAGCAAATTGTCAGAATGCAGGAACTCAAGGGAGGGAGGGCTAAAAAAGAAATTTGCAGAAATAGAAGGTAAAAATGACCAGATATCAGTTCAACAAATGAATGCCATGGAGACTAGAGGAAAGAAGCACAATTAAAATAGCTGACATTTTCTGAGTATCTACTACGTGTGAGGCATTGTTCTAAACTCTCTGCCTGTATTACTACATTTGATGACCAAAACAACTCCTTGAGGAAACAACTATTATTATTTTCATTTTACAGAGGAAAGTAAGGAAACTAATGTGAAGTCTTTGGTCCAAAGTTTGTACCGTCAGAGTCAGCATTTTTAATCATGATCAGATACTGTGTCCCAGAAATGATTACAAGTACACTAACAGGAGACTATGAACATACCATATTGATTTATGGGCACTTGCAGAAGAATCTATGACCCATGTCCTCACTTCATTTCAAAGAATCAGTATAGTTCAGTGAGAAGAGGTCTGGAAGGACTGCTGAGAGTTATTAATTCTTGCCTGTGTTACCCTAAAAAGTTTACCTCCTCTCTATGGACCATATTGCCTTTTGTAATTTCCATAACTCCATTTAGATTTAAAATTAAAATATTTTTTAAATAAAAATGATCAGTAAAGCACTGCTGATTATAGGAATCCAGTAAAATCTACTCAGTATGTGTTTATAGATTGGTCCTGATATATGTAAAACCATAGTAACTGACAAGTTAGATTAGATCCTATAATTTTATTTTCCTCTATGAAACAATTAGGCATTAAGTTTGAAATGCTATGTCACCAATAACGGCTTTCTTTTAAGATATGTGGAATTTAAAGGACAGGAATTGTACACACAAAAAAAGAACACCCATGTTCAATGCCCCGAGTTAGTGGGTTGGAGCAATCATACTCGATGCAAGAATTCGTCTTTGAAATGGTAATGAAAGTGCTAGCAATATCCACTTAGAACTCAAACAGACGGGGTAATGAGCAATATGGTAATTAGACAAGGAGGGGCCAGGTAGAGGAGGTGCTTACTTAGAAAAGAAGTCCTCCAGTCCAAAATTTCTGAGCATCTGTGATTCTTAATATTCCTTTAAATGTATATGCAAGATAAAGTCTACAGAATATGGGAGGTGAAAGCAGCATAATTAATAGTAACGATCTCTTCATTTCAGAGTTGCTACCAGAGAGACACACTTGCTTTTTCACTATGATCCTGGAATGTCAATTTTGAGTATTCATATAAAAGAAATCCTTAATGAAAAGATTTCTTCATATCATCATGAAGGTTAAGTGAAAGTCAACAAATGATAATTCAGTATTCTAATGAAATTTCTCTACCAGTGACTAGCTCAAATTCTGACCTGAGCAGGTGTGTTTGGCCATTTGAGTATTCTCCTCCCTTTATCACTATGCATAAATAAATGGAAAAAAGTAGAACCGTAAAAGTACCAGTTAACGTTACTTTGCATGAGGTAATGCAATCAATCCACCGGAGAGTAAGTAGATTCTTGTCAGTTCAAATCATAGAACCATGCTTTCAGGTCATGGCTTGTGAAAACATATGCCCTTTCCTTGACACTGGTATTTTAAAGAAAGATACAAAGATTCACACATACGCATCCAATAAACATTCATTCACTCAATTTGCAAATATTAATTCAGTGCTTAATATGCCACAGGTACGAAAGTAATGTGGGAAAAGCTCAAAGTTGACCAGATCTCAGGCGTTTATTTCAGTCACTACTTTATCTGAATTCCTTACGAATAAGAACAAGATGCTTGAGGAGACTGGCCCCTAACTTTGATGAATTGTTCATCTCAACTTCAGCTACTCTAACTGCCGCCTCTTCAAAATACACTCCAATTCATTCAGTAACAAAATATTATAACTCTCAGTGAAGCTTTCTCCCTTCCTAGTGGCAGTTTACTTGGTCTAAAATAAGAGACTGAAGTGAACTATGTACTTCATTTTATCACTCTTTTTACATATTGTCCCAAATAAGCCACATTCTTTCTTAATAATTTGAAAGCATTATCATTTGTGTCCTGGGAATGACTAGAGAAGCTTTTAATATTATTAAGCCTGAATCAAATCAATCCAGTATAACTTGGCCATAGGACTAATGTTTCTTTAACCACACCCCCTTCTTACCAATTATTCACAACTATATTGGTGGCCCTGTTAGAAAATCCTTGCTGTCTCTGATCCGGGGTTCCAGAAACAGGCACTGTTATACATTTTGCTGACAACCCTTGAACCAAGCTGCCAAGTGAAATCTTAGCATACAATCTTAAAATCCAAATGATGATTCATTGTTTGCAAACAGAGAGACAGATTACTATTGTTAACTTGACCTTAGCCTCTAACTCTCAGAAATGCTTAAAGACCTGGGCATCTTAACTGGAGCAAGACGTAAATCAAATTACCTTCAACACCACAAAGCAATGAATGGTTGGCATCTTATAAACTGCAAAGTGCAGTGAGTTTTCCTTGGAAGATGAAGTTGAAACTGATGACAAAAGACCCCATTACTTAATTGAGTTTAATAAAATATGAAGGAACAAACTTTGCCACAAGTTCAAATAGTCTGATGAATAAATAGGGTCATTCTGAGTTTGCTAACCACATAGTTCTTGGGAACAAAGTTTTCCTGATTATGAGTGAAACAACAAAAGGGTAACTATCCAGAAACGTAATATTGTCTCAACTTCCTTGCTGCAACCAAATGAAATTAGTTATTTATGTTTTGTAGTGGGTTTATTTGCAAGATTTAGAGCAAGATAAGAGGGGAGAGAGCAAAAAGGTCGCTAACAGAGAGACAAGGAGGAAGAATTTGGTCTGGAAATGAAGGAGGTAAAGTGAAGTTGATTAGGTGGGGGCTAAGTCCAGGCCAAACACGATCATCAAATAACAGTTTTACAAGTGTGTTACATTTCTTCATATCATGAGTTAGACTGCAATTTCCTTAAATGATGGTTGAACTGAACTGATGCAGTGTGGATCCACAACTGAGGAAAAGGAAGACTTGGAAGTTTCAATGATAGCAGGTCATCATTGCTGTTGGTGTAAGATACCAACTACTTTTTCCATTGCGCTTTAGCTAGAAACTAGGGGTAGAAACCAAAATGCATGTATGATTTTTTGAAATGCTTATAAAATCTACTTTTGGGGCTTCTTTTTACTTTTCCAATATTTGATCTAAAGTTTATTAAGTTGTTTATATTTCTCACACTCATTTCGTTATATACTCAAAGTTCCTGCTGTAGGCTTTGTCTTGAACTTGTAAGACCATTTGTTATACATAGAAGTCCCTATATTCTTCTTGTAATTAATCCAGTGTTTGTTGTTATTCTTGTTGTTGAGACAGAGTTTCACTCTTGTTACCCAGGTGGAGTCTCCGCTCACTGCAACCTCCACCTCCCAGGTTCAAGTGATTCTCCTGCCTCAGCCTCCTGAATAGCTGTGGTTAGAAGCATGAGCCACCATGCGTGGCTAATTATATATTTTTAGTACAGATAGGGTTTCTCTGTGTTGGTGAGGCTGGTCTGGATCTCCCGACCTTAGGTGATCCGCCCACCTTGGCCTCCCAAAGTGCTGGGATTACAGGCGTGATAATCCAGCATTTGTAAGCCTCTGTCCAAAATGTGTGCAGCTCATGATGCTGCTGTAGAGTCTTTATTTCCATAGGCACCTATTTAATCATAGCATTCAGATTGGAGGTGCTTCCAATAGACATTCACTCCCACTGGAAATTCTTTAGAAATCACATTATGAAACCATAAAGTTTCCAGCCTTGGAATAAAAATCCAGTTTTTAAAACCAACCTGACTCAAAATTAAATGTTGAAGAAGTTTAATATCGATAAAAGGGCTGGGTACGGTGGCTCACACCTGTAATCCCAGGACTTTGGGAGGCTGAGGCAGGTGGATCATTTGATGTCAGGAGTTCGAAACCAGCTTGGCCAACATGGTGAGACCCCCATCTCTACTAAAAATGCAAAAAATTAGCCAGGCATGGTGGCAGGAGCCTGTACTTCCAGCTGCTTGGGGGCTGAGGTAGGAGAATCACTTGAACCTGGGAGACGAAGGTTGCACTGAGCCAAGATCATGCCACAGCACTCCAGCCTGGGCAACAGAATGAGACTCCATCACACACACACACACACAAAAGATAACACTGATTCCAAGAT